GTTCTAAGATAGCGGACCGACCGTTGACGTCATGGCACCGCTATGCATGAGACGCGCATGCGCGACAGGAAGCCACTAGAAAAGGCGGAACGAATTTTCAGCAAGGCGTTGGTTGTCGAGGACTTGACACAACCACAGAACTTCAATAACTGAAAAGTTTTGTTGCCTTTGGCTAGAATTCCTCTGTAAACATTTCAAGAGAACATTTGGTTGAGCTCAAACAAGAATATTGTAAATAGATTCAAATTGGAACAATTGTCGATGATAGGGAAGATGATACTCAAGTTTGGTTCACATTAGTTTAGTTTCGTTTTTTGCGCATTAGCAGAAAAATTATCTAAGGGATTTCTTTTAGCACTCACCTCAATTTCTCCTTGTTACTTTTATTTGTATATTTGTCCTCTATACGGTTCTACGAGTGTTCCATCAAAATTTGTTAAATGATATTGTTAAAAACTTGTATTATATTAAGTAAAAAATAATCAGGTCCTAAAGAATTTTCTTAATTGCGTTGTTTTCACCCATTTGCCCCTAAAACGCCCTTAACCGCCCATTTGGATTTACGTCCCTTCTACCGCTTGTGACGTCATCAGTTTTTAACGGTCAAGGACAATTTTGTCATCTTACTTGTGCAGGGGGAAAAGATCTTTCAAACCATGCCAGAGTGAGCACGATTCTGTCAAGGAGGCAAGAGAATAAGGCTAAAAACCATGTAACGTTGGTCCGAAAATTACGATGAAATCCTTACTTACGTCTAATCCTAAGGTCCTAAACGGACGCTAGCCATCAAATACAACCTTCCCATAAAGTTCCGCACAATTCCTTCAAACAATTCTAAAATTAACAGAAGGCTTGTTTCTAAAGAAAGTGTTGCTCTGAGTCCCTATTAAATATGAAAATGTTAAGCAAAGTGTTTGCTGAAAGAGCCTAAGATATATAGAGTTTTGGATCACCCCGTTTCGGTATTCATCTTTTTAAAAGTTAAAATACCTTGTTTGAATTGATCATAGAAGGTCGATATCATTTTATATAACGCTGGATTCAACTACTGTACTGACAATTTTTTCAATTTTTACTAGCCGGGAAGAAAGGCTCAGGGTTACAATTCTACCATAAAGCGAGTTGACCCATCCTTTCACGGGTTTATAACGAACCAATTCAACGACCTGCTCCTAGTTGGCTTATTAGTTCAATTGGTAGAGCGCTGCACCGGTATCGCTGAGGTCAAGGGTTCGAATTCCGTACAAACCTGAATTTTTTTTCAGGCTTTCTTTTCGCAACTGCAAAAGTTGCGTCTATAAGTGCAATGATCTTCTTTCATATAATACTTATCCCATTATTTGGGGGTGAACTGAATTGCTTATTGTTAAAATTGATACTTCTGTTAAACTTGTTTTATTATTTGCTCCGCTTTCTTCTGAATCGAGTAAATTAATCAGCCTCACAAATGTTCCCACTACTAAAGCAATACTGAGTCATGTAAGTGACTGACTGATCATTTCATACGCAAGTGAAGTGTTAGCAATGTTTCCGGTGGTAATATCTGGTAATATGGTCCGATAAAATATATATCCGATAATAACTGATTGAAAAAAGAAATTAATTTGACCAGCTCAACTGACAAGGTCTCTCAAGAGAAAAAAATTTCTTGAAAAGGAGTTAACTGCAAACCAAAGCTGTCTTCAGTAACCCTGTTTTCTGATCGCGCGAATGGAATTTGTAACCATTTCACTTTGAAAATCTTGTACAAGGCTTGTTTTTCTTCCAAGGTCATGATCAACAATCCTGTTATGATTTGGTGTGTAATTTTTGCTTATTGCCGGGTTATTGACGTATTTGCCGGCAAAAAAATTTGAAATTCCCGTATGAAGGGGGAATTGTAGTGGCCACTCCCTTTTCGGCGGGGAATTCTTTTCAAAATATCAAATAGCAGCAAATCAAAAGCGACAAACGTACCGTTACCACCGGAGTGGTGGTGGATCTCTGAGTTCGTGTTGTAATCCTGGATCAGTACATTAACAGCTTGTGTGCAAAATATAAAACGGCAAACAAAAGAATAAAACAAAAAATATATTTCAACAAGTTTCAAGGCTATAGACCAGCATCCGTCTCGGGAAGTCACTTTCAAAACAAACAAAGCTGCAACGGCTGATACCAGATAGTAAAATTATCTTTGCAAGAGGTTAACAAGACACAGACAGAACTCAACAGATAATAATAATGAAGTACATCTTTGAACCTATTGATTAAGTAAAGAGACGGACTTAATTGCAGAGGAAACTAGTTGTCCGGATTTAAAACTGGTGTTGACAACTAAAATGATCGAAGCACTTCCTCTGCGTCATAAAAGCAATTTTTCATGGAGGTGCAGGTGTCTGAAAACCCCGCATAAAAAATGAACGAAATTGAAGATCAAAAGGATGATTCAATTAGGAAACAAACCGCAATAACTAAAAGGCGCACAGCTTGCCGTTTCTAAGTTATGTATGCATTTCTTTAATTGATCCATCTAGGCATTCCTTCTTTTTTTTTTCATGTACCGTTGAAGGCCGGTTTTCTGAACGTAAAGGAGTCGGTCAGAGTAAAAAAAGGCAAAGAGAAGAATAAAGAGTTTAAAGTAAGTAGACGCTGCATATGTGTGTGAACTGATGTAACTTGTTTTCCTTAATCAATCGTAGTGCAGCTACCTCCGTTGACAGTTTTGTAGGACATTTTGGTTACGGCTTTTGGGTTAGTAATCTTCTAATAAACTGAACACCCTTTAACAGACCCGCGGCTGCCAGATTAAAAACAGTCAGTGGGAAAAAAGATATTGGACGTGCACGTTTCTTTGGTCTACGCCGCAAACTTTCAGAAACTGTTTACAGTTATCGATGTTTCGGCTTTAGTGTTTGGCCAACCGCGAAAAATGGATTATATTGTGTTTCCGCTTTAAAAACGCCCGCTATGCCCCGTTTTGAAAACCGGCACTGACTTTAACGTTTTAAGTTTCTTTTATGATATCGGCAATACAGTTCTTTGTTACGTAGTCTCATGATCAATGGAGTTAAACACTGACCAGAATGAAATCTAGTGAAGTAGTCCTCTTTGGTATAAGAATCCTCTCTCCATGCAGACCGACCCGATTACAATCTTCACTTTTCTACATCTTTTCGAATCTTTGTTTCTTTTCTCACTTCCTTCCTTCGTTTCCGTTTGTTTGTTTTGAAAACGGAAAAAAATCTGGGCTGGCGAGACGAAAGGGTGCTAAAAAAGGAGGAAATGACCTCTTTTAGCGGCAATCATTTCAGTTGAATCATTCTAATCCCATTAAACGGCCGGAAGAAATCATTCCTTAAGTCCTGTTCACAAACTAGTACCTTTTTAACCGTTCTTCACCTTCGTCCGTACTGTAACCGCTGAAATGGGCGAGTTAGAGGGTGGGTCGGTCGGTAATATACAGAGGGATTATCCTTGAAAAAGAAATTGAAAAAATGTTTATATGTCAGTGCCGCGCAATTATTGCGCGGCCGCTTCTATAACAAATCGATTTTTAATTGTATACACAATTTTCTGGCGTGTTTTAGTTCTGCGAACTTATAACTAACAACGTTGTTTGTAAGCTGATAACCAAGTGAAACTAACAGAATCAAAATATCAGGTGACTTAAAAAAAATATAATCAAAATGGATGAAAAAGAGGTCCATTTTCTACCCACGTTACAACGTTAAGAAAACAACCAGGCTAACCAAAAGTACTGTAGCACAACAGGGCAGTAAATTGAGTGTTTTTGTACTTTGTAAGAGAGGAAGACACCTGCTCTCCTCGCGCGTGTTCACGTTCAGAACGCCACGGGCATCTCACGCGCGAGCAATATAAGTTTGAAAAGCGAAGCGAAGAGAAACTCTAAAAACGGTATTTGTCAATAAAACTTTTAAAAAAGTAGCAAGTTTTTTATCAATTTAGGTTTCTCGGAAACTGCCCACCTACCCCTCCCCTAACCCAACATTTTGTCCTAAGTGAGAAGTAAGTGTTAATGATGACTTAGGGGAGGGGTAGGTGGGCAGTTTCCCAGAAATCTATAAATTGATTCAAAGTTTTGACAACGGTACCCCGCTTGGTCCTTGTTCTTGTTGTTTTCTTTCCCTTTCGTTCAAAAGATGTCTCCCAAGTGGCATTATAGAAACTGCTACACTGTAGCCAGTACTCTTTTCTCGCCCTCTCCCTCTTTTCTTCCTGCCTAGTTTTGGACTTCATTTCTTTCAGTAAGTGTGAGATTCAGGACATGTAGGATAGCAAAAATTCAGCTCTTTCTGGTCAAGTCAGTCAAGCAGATGAAAATTAGGGCGTGTTCGCTTGACCGTATCTCCGAATAAGAATGAACGGAGTTTTCTCTAGAAATCACTTGTTTTAGCTTTCAATGTGTTGCAATATCTAAAATTATTTTTTCTTAATTCATGAGTGGGCGGAATTCTCCAAATCCTGCAATCTGATTGGTTCTGGGAGAGGGCGGTTTTTTACGATCTTGCCCGCTAACCAGGGCAGAATCGTTGTCAGCTTCATTGGGTACTTAAGACCTCGGACACAGTTCCTCCTAATACGGACCTCCCAGCCGGTGAATAACATATATATCTGTTCGAAATAAGATATACCGACGTATGTAACTATTATAAGTGGTCCAAAAATTACGGTAGAAGAGATTTGTAACAAGACCGATAGACTCATAGAAAAGTATCAAATTATGTCCATTTTATTTTAAGTTCTATTATTATTAAAAGAAATAGACACTCTCTATTCAATTCAATTATTAAGCCAGTTGTTGGGAAGAACTCTCTCTAATTCTTAAATAAATTATATAATTTTTAACATTGAGAATAACATAACTTAAATTAAGTTCATTCGAGTATCAAAATACAAGATGACAGCTTGTTTTAGTTCATTATCCAGTATTAATAATAAAAAAATTACGTGTAAACGGCTTCTGAAAACCCGGGGACAAACTTACAGGTTATCTCTTGAACGGATGTACATATACATACAAATAAAATACAAATAAAATGATGATAAAAGGAATGTGGATTTGGCCAGCAAACTCCAACAGCTTGGCTCATTAACACTTGCTAAATTGCTCCTTCAATTTAGTGCCAACAAGAGGGAATGATGGGGCAGAGAGTGGAACACCCAGTCAGGCCCTTGGGATATGTGAATTACCCCAAAGTTGTGTTTAGACCAATTAAATGCTTCAAATTCATTCGAAGTGTCCACAAACTTTTATCCAGTGTTTTCAAGAGAGAATTCAACAAGCCCCATCATAATATTCTGCATTGTTTGCTTTGAGGCATTCGTGTGCGGACTCCGTATTGTTTCAAATAATCTATTTAACCCTTTAAACCCTAGGATCAAAATTTGAATTCTCATTTGTTGTCCCTATTCATTTTCTACAGAAGTAGTAGGGAGAAGTTGATAAAAAGTCAAGCAAATTCATCTTGTGTGATCATGTCCGTAATTCTCATGACCGCTCTGTTTTACAAAGCTTTGATGGTAACAAGGAGAAATTTGATGCTGATTGTAGTGAGTATGCCTTGGGCTACCTTACACAAAGTACTATCCAGGCATGTTTTCATGCACTGAAGTTAGTCCGCCATCTTGTTTGTCTTGTATTGTGGCAGCTGAAAAATAAATCAGTTTGTAGTGGACTCTGGTATGTCCTCAACTTGTTTCACTGATCCCTCTTAGGGCTTAAAGGGTTAAATGTGCGGCTGTCTCAGGAATTAGACTTCCGTTTAATTACAACCTCTAAAAATAAATGAAGTACAATTCACATATCCCAGCCAGTGCCTAAAGATACTCTCTGTTCCATTATTCTTTCTTGGTGCCAGTCTCCTTGTTGTAAGATGCTGGATTCACTTGAATAAATATAGCATTGGCAGTAACATATGTCACTTTGCCATCAGGAGACTTGAGCTCAGCAGAACCAAAAACCTTTCTTCCTTCTACCTTATCAACCTTGGATTCAACAAGTGCAATTGCGCCCAATGGAAGAAAACTGTAATGAAAAAAAAAAAAAAGTAACAATAAATTGTCAGCAAATTTAAAAGGGTGGAGTACCAAAAAAAGGATCAAGAATGGTCAGAGTCAAATCAGGCAAACAAGAATCCAGATGTGGACAATGACGGCTGGTTTGAGCCAAATTTTACTTTTTTTCTGAAATTCTTAAGGTGGCTGAACACATTTTCTCCGATACAGTTTCTTTACAGTTTCTGATACAGTTCAGTTTTCACAGTTTCTCTGTGGCACGCGAAGAAATTTCACTGACGCAATTGTTTCCTCTCGCGCAAAAGACTGATGTGATCTTTAAAAAAATTTGAACCTCAAAGTTTTTGCCTTTAGAAATTCTTCATCCCTCACCTGTTAACATTTTAGTTATCATGAGAAGACATGCAGCCAAAGGGATTTTCAAGAAAAAATGTGAGGACAAGCTGAGAAAAATGGCCAGAAGTTGTCTGTAGCAATTTCTTCCGTTTTCGACGCTTTTGTTACATCGCGTGACCCCAGCGCATGCATAAGAGTTGAGCATGCACACTTAGGGAAAACATTGTTTTGTTGACTTTCATAGACAATGTAAAGAAACGATGATATCTCAAGTACAATTTGGTCATGTTGTTTTTGAAAAATGAGGATTACTAACAATCCTCATTTTAATTGTAACCTGTGCGCTAATTCATGAGGAACCATCCATGTTGCCATGGAAACGATCAAAACCTTATGTTTAACCTCATTAATGCCATGTCTTATAACTGAATATATTTCGTCTGTGCCAAATTTGAGCTTTATACCTGCAACGAGTTTTTGAATAGTAAGAATGAGGGGGGACAAGGAATGCGAAGAGAGACCTCTCTCCCACTCTTTCTCCTTTTATTATTGGCCTCTCTATCTTCCTAAGCAAGTATCTCCTCTCTTGGTGCCCCATATATACACCGGTACTTCATGCACTTCCTATGTAGACTGTCAAGCTATCTGTGCACCCTACTGAGCTGTAACATATTTCTTGCTTCAAAGCACACTGAACTTATGCAGAATGCCATAGCAGCATGTTGCCTGAAGGTCAAAATCTTACGGTGATCTCACCTTTTATAGTTCATGGACAATGATACTGTGACGCAACTAGAGGAAAAACTCTTGTTTACACATACACCAATAGCTGCATCCATCATAGTTGCACTGGCTCCCCCATGTACACAGCTGAGGATAGTGCATAAAAATCATCATAAAATAATAATTTTGTCATTCTTTTCCTATTTGATCTGACATTTATTTCAATTTGAGTTTCAGGCTTGAAAGTGAAAGCCATGGCATGAGTGTATACTGTAAATGGGTTCTCCAGAATATTTGAACCAGAAGGGGGGAAAATGAAGTAGGTGGCAACTGCTTAGATTGGACGGCATGTCTTTCACATGGCAGAACTGCATGCAGGGGTTACTAAGGTATGGGAAGGAGGCTACCACACTTTCATTTGGAGAATCCCGCAGCATCCCCTGGGAAATCTTACTTTGGGGTTCCTGAAAAGTGCATTTCAGGATCTTGATGATGATCTTAATCAACATTGGCATCAATCAAACAAAAGTGCTAAGAACCAAAATAGAATGAAATACTGAAATATTATTTTATTGTCCCACTTAATAAACCATTTTCTGTGAGCAGTAGGCGTGCCTCTGAACCAACAACTAGTTAATGACATTAGCTGGTCACCAGAGCTTCTGGAGAACCCTGCATCATGGTCATCAACGATGTACAAGTGACAATGTTCTCCAGACTTCCCAAAAAAGTAAGGTAAAAAGGTAAGAATTCCTATAAAAATTAAAAGACAGCTTTCTCATTCTTATGCAGACATTTCCTTTTCTGTGAAGCATGATTGTGGCTTTTATTTGTGATTTCATGATCTTTTAATGATCCAGATTCTTTTCCTTGAACATAAAGACACAAACAAAATTTAATACAGTAATGTGTGAAATGGGCTTTTAAATTACCAAATTAATTTCACATACAATTTTGCAGAGGGGTATGGGGGATCCTTGTTCAGTCTTACAGGCTTAAAAATGTCATTCAACATACTAAGGTTTTCACTTACCCAGGTGGGCCTTGGGTATATGGTCCAAACTGAACAACCCCTTTTATTCTCTGTTCTTTCTTGCTGAAGAAAAATTGATATTCAAAAAATTTTCCAGGAAATTCTGAAATGACTGCTTTTGTGAATAGTCTTTTTTCACCATCATACAAAGCTGTTCTGTAATCTATCCAGTCTCCATTTCCATTTTCTATTAAATCATTTGTTAGTTGCTTGTATAAATCAACCAATTCAGAGCTCCAGCCATCAGCTGGTAATAAGGAATCAGTCTTTTCTTCCTCCATATGATCACGTTTTGCTACTCTGTTAATTCTGAGGGTCTGGAGGAAACAAGAAAAATTAAAAATTAAAACTGTATTTTTTATTAAGAAAAGATAAATAGATGAGCCATAGAGGAACTTTAAATTCATCACAAAAGATGATTAAAACATTATTGCAAGGCATACAGTGTATGCTTATCAAATTTTTCCAAGAACACCAAATTGCTTGGAACCTGCATTCACCACTGTACCTTATGTTAATTTCAAATATGGCTTAAAGAAGTTGTGACAGAAAATTTATCCAGTTCAGACTGTGGGAACTACCCACCTAAATAAGCAAAACTCAAAAGAGACTGGGAACATCCCCTTCTTAATCCATACATCACTTTCCAGAAATAATGTATAGTGTGTATGCTAAATTTTAATCAGTGACAACAGACTCTCTAGCTCTCTCTCTCTCCTTCCCATGGCTATAAAAACCCCATCCTCCAAATCTCCATCAGTAAAAGAGCTGCCCCAGTTGTTCAAACGCTGGATAATGCTATCTACCAAATAAATCACTATCCAGAGGGTGTGGAAGGGGGGGTCCTGATCCCGCATTCCCGCCCCTTTTTCGCGAGAATCCCGCATCCCGCACATTTTTCATCAGTTTCCCGAATCCCGCTTTTCTTTCCCACAAAAATACATTAAAAAGTCTAACTTCTACAAAAGCTAATAAATGTAAGATGTAGGTTGATCCTTTAGATTGATATTTTGAATTTACGCGTGTTTTTAAAGGCTTCTGCAAAAAGTGAGACCGCGGAAGAGACTGAAGAGCTTAATTAAGCAATATATCAAGTCAATAACTGGTATGTTATCACACCACGTGCACATTTCTGGCATCTGGTTGAAACAAAATACTCTTTGACAGTTAACCATTAAGACCTATTAACCAGACACTCCATAGGGTGTTTGGTTTGAAAGGAGACACCACTTAGCGCTCGCCTGGTTAATTCGCTTTAGCCGCTAGAACCGGTGGGTCGTGATGGTTTCCGCCCTTCCCGACAGACACACAAACATACATCCCGTGCCCAATTTTTGGCGAGTCCTGGTTCCTGGGGAACAGTCAAATCCCGGATCCCGTCAATATATTTATCGTTTTCCCGATTCCCGCACCGTATTTTGGTCAAATCCCGAATCCCGAAAATACCCTTCCAGACCCTCTATCCAGTGGATAGCACAATATATGGAACTATTGAGTAATTTTTTTGGCATGAAAAGCTACTGCTAGTCAAACTAAAAACTAGTTTTACAACATTCAACGATATAAGACTACTTTACCCTCACCTCTGAAAAGCTGTGGTCAGTAGAACTGACAGAACAAAATGGATGCAACTTGATGGGACTTACGTAAGACCATTGTGCACGACCTTGAACGACCTTGCACGAACCGCATGACGTCGTCGCCGGAATATCAGACATTTGTGATAGCACAAACGACTTAAAATTCAAGTACGACAACTTTCTTTTTAAACAAAGATTCATTTTAGGTGTTCTCGGTATGGTTAAAAAATTCGTAGAATAACATGAAGGTGATGAGAAAAAGAAAGACAAACACTGTGTAAAACCGCGAACAGCACTGGTTGCCATTGTTGATGCCGGTTGATGTCACGTAGCAGCTACACCGAAACGCAGTGAAAATGCCGCATAGCTCATTTACATTAAAAGCCGTCCTACCTGGCGTAATATTATGAAGTTATTGCATCACAATTATGAATAATTGCTTTGCTCACGATGGTTTGTCACGCCTCGTCACGATGACCGGTCAGAGGAACGGACCGTCTGATGTCGTATTTGTGTCAGCGGACTTGCTTTCTACTCTCTTGGTGTGTGGTGTAACAGTCACATGATATGTCATGTAATGCAGACATCTCTCTTTAATTTAAAGCCCCTCAAGGCCTTTCAAAAATATAAGCCCGGGGGTTCATTTTCGGAATTTTACGAAGTTTAACAGAAGCCCTGTTGGGCCTTTCCTTCGTGGTTGGCGTAAAAATAGGGGAGGGGGGCAGGAGGGGGCAAGGAGAGAGTACTCTTCCCCGGGAGCCTATCACCCTGTCCTCACCCCTCCACCCTCCCAGGCCACTGCGGGCTCCCGGACTTCCTGCCGCTTACTTGCACGCTCGCCAGAGGAAGCCACCAGCTGCGCAGGCCTACAAGACAGTCTCACAGAAACTATAAGTACTGGGATGGGTGAAAACGGGTTTAAAATTTCGATTTCTATTTTTGTTCTTTTACTATTGCTATCGTTATCATTATCATTATCATTATCATCATTATTATCACGGTCATCATCTTTTTCATCGTGTTCATGGATCGACTTATTATACTGAAATGCTGTGAAACTGTGAGGTTTCACAAAAATCTTTTTCAAACTTTCGAAAATATGGGAGCCCAAAATCTATATAAAACAGGAGCCGATGATAAAAGCAGTGTATATCAAGGGGGTAATGCTTGGATTGAATGATTGCCAAGGATGGCATACGTTTCGTTACATAAATTTAGGCCCTCATTTTTTAACCTCAGCTGAATATGAATCTATTTGTGAAGATATATCATTATTTTAAAAAAAAGCATTAAAATTGCAATTTCCTTGACATCGGTAAAAGTCGTAAAAAGGTCCATAAGTCGGGCTAACCCCGAATCAAGCTCTGCAAATGATTCTTTGAGGCATGGACCATTACAAAAGTGATGGGGGAACAGGGGCTAAATACGAGAACATAAAAAACGGAGGGACTCAGTTCAAGAAAAATTATACGCCCACAAATTATCACAAAAAACATCTTCCCAAGGGATATTAAAAATTTCATTAAAATGCGTCTCCCAAAACCCTCAATCCCACCCCCAATCACTTTTCTAATGTTCCTTCTTATCTTGGTCTCAAATATCGAAAATTATTCCGCAAAAAATGGACGCCGCGGGTGGGGGAAGGAAAGAAAAACAGAGGTTTTTTTTTCTTCCCACCTGCCATTCCGCAAGTCAATAGAGAGCTTCGCTAGAAACTTAAGTTGACCAGCGTATTACTATCGACTGCCTTCATTACTTTTAGAAAAAAAAAATCATCAACACGATCAAAAGCGATAAGATCTGTATAGAAGCGGGACGCAAAGCAAAAGTCTGCTAGAACGGGACTTGTTAAAGACAGCTAGTCCTGCTTTATGTTGGAAGATGTCTTGTCTCAGACTCAAAATTCAAGTTACAAAGACAAAATGGACGTAACACCAATTGAGTGACTTAGGAATTACGGTAAGCAAAATCAATTCTTCAAAAATTAATGTATCTAATAGTAGATTACCTGACATGTCATAGAAAGACAGACGCACTAATACCCTGGGTGCCAGAGACTTTTCTAGAGCGGTTTCCGGTTTCTGTCAAGTCTTTATAGTGACCCGCGCGAAAAGCCTCTGGAGCAGAGCGCTATTGCTTTGATGGCGCCGATCCAATCGTTAGCACGGTTAAATCAGTTGGTCCAGATTTTGGACACGACGGCTGATTGGCTCCAAACGACCACCTGAGGGACTTTGAATCTAACAGACGCTACAATTGGTTGACAAGAATAGATCAGCACGTGAAAGAATATTTCCAACTGTGCTGTTGACATGACGTAAGTGTACCTGCAAGCAGTATTGTGTCGTGATGGCGGCTTCGGAAAGTTTTGAAAGAGCATTGAAGGAAAGCATATAAAGCAATGTACTAGAAGGGTTTGATGGTGTAGACAAGTTAAGCGATGAGCAAACAAGTGGGTTTTTTTCGCGGCTTCGGCCTACGGCTCAAGATGTGTCAGCCTTCGGCCAGCACCGAAAATTCCCGCCGTACGCGAGAAAAACCTCTGGTACCCGGGGTAACGTACTAATGAATCAGAGAAAGAGAAGGTAGAGTACAGAAACCCCTACTCCAAATTACACATGAGCAGAAACTGAAATTCTTCGGCCATGATATGTGACATCCAAGTGAGCTAAAACTGGCTAAAATCAAGAAGCATGGACGCGTTCCTGGCGGAAGAGGGCGTGGCAGGCCGCGTAGAAACGGACATGTGAAAATGGACTCCGAGCACACCCTCACAGGCTGTCAGCAGGCTTGCTGAGGATAGAGAGCCAGGGATGAGACAGCATCAGCGTTCGTCTACGGATCCTGAGAGATCTTTGGCGTAAAAGAAGAAGAATATTCAACAGATTGTAAACAACTTCGTAATCATGATAACCATCTTTATTACTCAGCCCTAGAAAAGGGTCTTTACTAAAAGTACGTAAAACAATATTTACACAAGGGATGGATCTTTTAATTTTCAATGAACTGGTTGGGCGATTATTAAAAAAAAATCACGTGGAAGCAATCAGTCGCGACAGACCATTTTGTTAAGATTCGTAAGTCAATTATAGATTTTAATTAGATATAGCCTATCCACAGATGCTTTTCCTTTGTCTTTCGACAATTCGACAGCGCGCGATCGAGCGCTGAGCCCGAGAACGAGCGCGAATGCCAAGGCAGTTTAAACTGTTCATGAGGTTAATAAGAATGTATCACATTCTTTGTGCATATTTCTTTTTAGGATCTGTGAACAGGCTAAATTAGAGAGAATTTAGCTCTCTCAGTAGCTTTTCCTTTTGTGATACAAATTCACTTTCCAACAGAACGCCGTCGTCTTTTAAAGCCTTTAGGTCCTTAAGCTGTTGTAGAAGGGTTGAACGCACACGCATCTACGAAAAGAATTTCGGGAAAAGAACAAAAATTACAAACTCATAAGATTCCAGTAGATACGAAAACAATTTTTATGTATTTTCGATGAACTATTTTATCTACCAGCTAATGTTATCTGCACATATTACAGAACTTGGAATCTAACCGTCATGTCACAGAGAGACGCGCGATCAGATTGCTTTGGGTCACGTAGTCCTGACGAAGAACCGGACCTTCGAGTCGGATACGTCGCCGTGACGCACTGAGCTCATGAACGCCGAGAAAAGCACCTTGCAGGAACACGCTAAACAGTCATCAAATTTCAGCAATAGTTCACGGGCAGTTTCCACTGTCCTTGAGGTGAACAAAACTATATCACATTTTTTGTGCATATTTCTATTTAGGGTTCTTGCCTTTCTCTCTGTAGTGTCTGCACGGGAGTTCCCACTGAATCCATCGTCACTTGATATCTGATCATTAGACGAGTTTAAAACTCTTGCTTGTGCATTCTGTTCAGCTCGAACGCTGCTGGAAGCTAAAATGAGATCAAAAAGTCAGCTCTCGCTGATAGCGATTGCGGCCTTTCGGAACCCGACTTATTGCCTGTAATACCTAAAGTCCATGATAATACTGTTTCATCATTACTAATTTTCCCGATTTCAGAAAAAAATATCGTGAAATCAAGAAGCCGCATAAGAAGCTTTTTGGTGAAATCAACACCTTCCTTCCTACCTCCCTAGGATTAATTTAAAGAAACTGATATTTTCAGTTAAATGGTAAAACCTCGAATTAGCGCCTCCCCTCAAATAAGTAATCCCTTCAGAGAAGAGCCCAAATATCACCTCAACATTTAAAATAAGCGCCTCCCCTCGAGTAAGCACCACCCCTCCATTCCCCTTCTTCTTTATGGACAACAAAGGTTGAGCACAAAGCTGCGATCCTTTCAAATAACAGCCGATCGCATCGGGCCAACATTAAAAATAAGCGCCACCATCAAGTAAGCGACACTTCTCCCATCCCCCTCCTCCTTTTTCTTAGACAGTAAATTGTTTATCACCCGTGCGGCTTTTTTTGGCGATCAATTTCATTCCTGTTATATACATCATTACAATCAAAGAAACAAGTTCATTTTCTTCTTTATACTACCACATGAGAAATTTCTGCAATTTGATTGGCAACAGCAGTGGCATTTCAGCTTAATTTGAAATAGCTATATGTGAAAATTACAAACCATTTGCAGGTAGGTAGTACAAACAAATAATAGCATGATTTGTACGTGATATCTTGAAATATCACTGGTTGTATTTATGCCAAATATCACCACAAATCATGCTATTACCTATACAAATTACATCTTACAATTTCCAGAGCCACGTTTTCACATAGTCCCTTTACCATCTATAATCTCTTCTTCAAACGTTGTGAACTAATATAACAACAATTTTGAATTTTATTGTTCGGGAACCGGTTCCTCCAAACGTGAACAATTTCAAAAAAATCTACAANCGCCACCATCAAGTAAGCGACACTTCTCCCATCCCCCTCCTCCTTTTTCTTAGACAGTAAATTGTTTATCACCCGTGCGGCTTTTTTTGGCGATCAATTTCATTCCTGTTATATACATCATTACAATCAAAGAAACAAGTTCATTTTCTTCTTTATACTACCACATGAGAAATTTCTGCAATTTGATTGGCAACAACAGTGGCATTTCAGCTTAATTTGAAATAGCTATATGTGAAAATTACAAACCATTTGCAGGTAGGTAGTACAAACAAATAATAGCATGATTTGTACGTGATATCTTGAAATATCACTGGTTGTATTTATGCCAAATATCACCACAAATCATGCTATTACCTATACAAATTACATCTTACAATTTCCAGAGCCACGTTTTCACATAGTCCCTTTACCATCTATAATCTCTTCTTCAAACGTTGTGAACTAATATAACAACAATTTTGAATTTTATTGTTCGGGAACCGGTTCCTCCAAACGTGAACAATTTCAAAAAAATCTACAATAAATAAACATAATGCACACTTTTACGAACCGATAAGGTGCAAAGAGAAACTGTGCATAACACCAACTGAGTGGCAAAGCAATGAGGCTACTTTTCACCTCGTTAGCCTCTGTAGCCGGCGGGATCGTCAGCGCGATTCAAATTTTGGCAGAGGAGGCGTTTTGAAATTTTCTCGCGGCTTTGCCTCACACACGCGCAGAAAAATTACCGCCAGCTACGCAGGCTATCACCTCGGACGTGTCCTCTCGCCCATATCAGTTATCTAATGCACTGTATTTCTTATGCGCCTGGTAAAAGCTTTTCACGGCTCAATAACCGTAATAAAATTAACAACTAAGGTCTCTAAAATGAAGTATCATTCTATCTACATCAACTTCACCTTTTCCTTGTGTACCCAGTTGAATGAACAACGCATTAGCAGTTACAAATGTCACTTTGCCGTCCGGGGACTTCAGTTCGGCTGAGCAAAATATTATTTTCCCTTCCACCTTGTCAACCCTGGATTCGACCAGTGTAGTAGATCCTAGAGGAAGAAAACTAAAAACAAAAACTAAAAATGTTCGAATTTTCATATGAATAGAGAGAGCTGGAGTTAATATGATTGGATTCTTCATGTTTGATTAAAAACTGATTTACTTTTCGCCAAAATGTTAATGTGAGGGAGGACTTTCTCACAAAATTCGTACTTTATGCATCCCTTTACTTTCTTTTTTTAATTTTCAATTGTTTTTAAGAATTTTTTGTAACCTTTGCAGATGGCTAGTTCCATTGCAAAATAGACGATGCTCTTTCAAAAAAAATAATAAAGTTTCCACAAGAAGCTAACATCTTGGAATTTCTTCCAGTCTGTAAAATAAAAATAATACAGTCGCAATTCCATCAAGCACTGGCCACCCTTGGGGTACCAGCGCCGGCCACCCTTGGGTACCAGTGCCAGCCACCCTTGGGGTACCAATGCCAGCCACCCTTGGGGTACCAGTGCCAGCCACCCTTGGGGTATCAGCACCAGCCACCCTTGGGGTACCAGCGCTGGCCAACCTTGGGGTTCCAGCGCCGGCCACCCTTGGGGTACCAGTGCCCGCCACCCTTGGGGTGCCAGTGCCGGCCACCCTTGGGGTAGCAGTGCCGGACACCCTTGAGGTACCAACGCCGGCCACCCTTAGATTACCAGTGCCAGCCACCCTTGGGGTAGCAGTGCCAGACACCTTTGGTGTATTAGCACTGGCCACCCTTGGGGTGCCAGCGCTGGCCACCCTTGGGGTAGCAGAGCCGGACACCTTTGGGGTACTAGCGCCGACCACCCTTGGGGTACCAGCACTGGCCACCCTTGGGGTACCAGTGCCAGCCACCCTTGGGGTACCAGTGCCAGCCACCCTTAGGGTACTAGTGCCAGCCACCCTTGGGGTACCAATGCTGGAAACCCTTGGGGTACCAGCAAGTGGGTTCTTAATGGAAGTTGGCAGGTAGTTTGCAGATAGGCACAATCACCAAAATTATGACATAATACACAAGATTGAAAAGACAACAAACAATACCCACAACAAAACACAAAAGCGAACCAACAATGGTTTCTACAGCACTCACAAACACCTGTTTGGCCATTCAACCACCCTTCATCAGAAATTAACATAATCTTTAGTAGAAACATTGCTATATTTTGAAAGAAACATTTGTGATAAATCAGTGCATTACTATTGCTCGCATTACAATCGGTCATCACCTTCTATGTCTGACAGTATTTTTGTTCATTTTTTGAAATACTGTAAAGCCAAACTAAGCTTCTAGCCTGTTTTAGTTTTGTCTGTGGTGCAGGCTGGATAGCCCCTTTAACCCTTTAAGCCCTAATATCCACATATAAATTCTCTATACTGTTCTTTAAAAATCTCCGCAAATTTCTTCTTTACTGGTCATTTTATCAACTCTCATAACCATTTCTCTTGGCAACATATGGATATTATTAGGAGAAAATTGATGACGGTCACTATTGGGACTTAAAGGGTTAAAGAGATGAAAACAACAGGAACACTCTAGTCAGGATGAATGGATGGATGGATGGATGGATATTCATTGAAAATGCTTAAAGGCCTTCTTCCTTGAATCACTTTAGATACAAAGTTTGTAACCGAGATAACCTGCTCCCCATCAAAACCCTACATGTAGATCCACCCAAGAAGCATGATAAAATTGCTATCCATGCACTGGCATGAGTGTCACAGTTGACTCCCAATAATTCGAACTTTCAAGGGAAGTAGAAAAAAGTTTGAGTTATCAGGAGTGCGAGTTATCAAGGGTAAAATTATATAAAAATGATCTGAAGGGAAATGAAAATTGCTTCGAGTTAGCAGGAGGTTCGAGTTATAGAGGGTTTGTGTTACCAGGAGTGGACTGTATATACTTTTAACACATCAAAAGACTCATGACCCTGCCTATCTTGGTACAACCATCTGAACATTGTCAGGGTTTTTTGTGGTCGTTGTTAGAGCCATTATTGTTCGTGATATTATTTTCCTTTCCTTACCTTTTGTATTCCATGGACAATGAAGCTGTAATGCAATGAGAGAAACATCTGTTTACACAAGCATTGATGGCATCATCCAATATGCATGTACTTGCACCCCGATGAACACAGCTATCAACATAACAAGAGAGTAATACTTATTACTGTTACTTAAAAGGTTGGGTACTTATACAAACTGTAGACTTCAAACTGGAGAAGATAAGTCTTCTTATTGACCCAATTGGTGCTACATGTAGCAACATGTACAGTTAAACCCCGGTCTATGGACACCTGCTTGATAATACGGACACCTCATTAGTACAGACAGTTTGCTTTGTCCCTGGGGAAAGAAAGCCCTAACATTTTCTCTAAATTCAACCCAGTACCAGCCCAGTTAATAAGGACACTTTCTGTGGTCCCCTCAGTGTCAGGTATTAACAGGATTTGATTGTACACTGTAACAGGAAACAATTCCCAGCCATTAGAAATCATGCCTTAAGACAAACCAAGAAAAAAAATGATATATAAAGAGACAGGGACAGCGTCGGGATTTCCCCAAGCTGCTATGAACGTGGCCCTCGAATACTTTCACAGGAAAATAAAAGAAAAATTAAGAACCAAAAGAAATCACTAGCTGTTTTATTCCCTGCCTACTTGTCCTATTTACCCACAACTTGAAATCTAAGTGACATCCAGGATGCAACATTCAAAATTAGACTGCATTTAGGAAAACTTGAAAAATACTGGCTTATCTCTTCCCAGGGCAGGGGATTTCCTTGTAATATAATGTATTAGATTGTGCTTAGGCTACCCTGGGACATGGATGAGCCAAATAAAATGGGAAATCTTTAAAATTCCCCATTTTTTGCTCATCCATGGCCCAGAGTAGCCTAAGCACAATCTAATACATATACGTAAGGAAAATCCACTACCCGGGCCAGCTTTAATGGGGAGCTTAAATTATCAAAGGCGTTTTGGAGTGACGCACATCCACCGGAAGTGTATTTTTTTCATTCTTTGGCAATGGTTTTGCCTGCATTTTCGAGCAAATTGTCTCTGTAAAAGTAAAGGAACCTAGCAAAACAAATTTGGTAACGTCAACACATATTTTAATATTTTAAAAAAAGGACAAGGCCTCACTTCCAGTTGACGTGTGTCGTTAAAAAATGTCTTTGCTTAAGCTCCCTATTAAAAGCTCTCGACAACATGCAGTGGGTCACGCTCAAGGCATCAAATAGCAACAGCAAATTTAAGGTATTTGCACAGGCAAATTTTTAACATTTTATTTTGCCCTCAAAATCTTTCTACAGTAAGTTCAGATGATGTAATATGCATATCTGGTGTTCTTTTTTGAATATACCTTGGCATTTAAGAGAAAATCTACTCAAAAGTTGACTGATTTACCAGAAGTTAAAGAAAAATTTTCATTTCCGTTACTAAGGAAAAGGACGGCAGGAGCGCAATTTGACTCCTCTTTCCATCATCAAGTTCTATTGATGTGCTGAACAAAATCTATTCACTGCTTGGATTCATTGACAAACTACAGCCGCTGTGTGTCCAACTTGATTTTTCTTGCTTCTGTTAAAGCTGTGATGACTAATATTACTTGCTTCTTGTCAAAATTTGTTATGTTCTTGAAATACACTCCGTTTTCCAGGGCTTATTATTGTTTTAAATTTACATTACATCGGTGTGTCTTCTCACCTGATATTTTCTGACAATTTTGCCGGGAGAGTAAAACGTTTTCTTGGCCCCTAATCCTCTGGTCTGTTTTTCTGCCAATTTCTTTCACTTTACAGAAGCAATTCTTTTCAATTTTGAATAAAACTCTTCTTCAATCTTCATACTTCGGCGCGCTTCACTGCATTAAAGCTGACACTGAGTAACGCATCTTCCGGAAATGCGTCACACCTAGCAACTGGTCACGTATCAAAATCCAAGGGGGCTATAGAGAGGTCATTTGGCATTTTCTTAGGCTTCCACGAGCATTTTACACAGCGGTGATTCAAAATGGCGGGCAAGAAGGTCTGTGATGGTAGTATCGAGGAAAAACAGTTGATTTTGAGAAGAAAATAAGCTTTTTCACACTGGAAAAGCGTTAATTACCGCGTGACCGATTTACCTTGACTTACGGGAACCAGTTTTTTGGAGGAATGGATCATTATTACTTCGTGAAATTTGGCAAATACACAAACAGCATGTTAATGAACAGATCTGTGTTTGACTAAAGGTTAGAATTGCCGTACAGCTGAGTTATTGATGTCAAAATATGGGTCAAATTACAAAATAGCAAATTGTGCCCTAGAGGCCGGATTAATTGGAGCTGTGTCGTGGTCAAACACAGAATTATTCTATCTTACGTCCTTATTTGTGTTACATTTCTTTTTTAACAACAACTCTAAGGATTCTTCTGAAATTTTGATTTTTCTCTTTCTGTGCCACCCTAGGGGGTAATTAAATTAACACCTTTTGGGTGACATAACATAGTTTATTTTGATATATTCTAGTTCCTCAAGAACTGAGGAATACCGTCAATATAGTGACATATACATATTATCCATAAAACAACCACTAAAAATGATGCAAAAATGTGCAAAATTTGCCTGTGCAGATACCTTAAGTAAAACAGTAATAAAGTACAGAAACTGACTTACCCTGGTGTGCCTTGGGTGTATGGTCCAAACTGAACAACACCTTTTAGTTTCCGCTTGTCTTTATTGACAAAATACTGATATTCAAAGAATTTCCCTGGAAATTCAGAGTTTACTGCTTTTGTGAACAATTTCTTTTCACCGTTGAATGATGAAGAGGATAGATCATCTGTGTGCTTTATCCAGTCCCCTTTTCCATGGTCTATCAAATCACTAGCAAGTTTCTTGAACAGGTCTAAAGATTCTGGCATCCACGTATTAGACAATGAAGAAGTGCATTTATCTGATTCACTTTCATCCATTGAAACACTCTCTGCTGCTTCAGCAATACTTAGAGTCTGAAAGAGACAAGACAAAGAAGGAAAATATTATTAAGGGACATAGGCAGACCAAAGACTAATCTGAACAAAGCTGCAAATAACAGTGGATTATAATTATTATTGTATGTAAAACATTCAGCTAAAATATGCAAATTAAATACGTCTGATAGAATGTTCACAGTCCCCCATTCAAAGTTTTTCAAAATACACGTTGAAAAAGGAGAAAAAACCAGACATTTCAAGGGTGCTTCCTCTTCCCCAGTGGTCCACTAAAGACGATGGAGCACTGTCAAAATGTCTGGGTATTTTCCTTTTTCAACATGTATTTTGAAAAACTTTGACATTCAGTCAGTAAACTGCATTGCACAGTTGCTTTATTATTTATTGTAACACTTATCATGTATCCAAATTGTCTAGTGTCTTAAGCTGCATCATTAGTTGAATTTAAATTACGTTAATTGAACAAATACCAAGCAATAAAATGATTCTATAACAATGAGTGGCCTAAAAATATTGTATAATTTCAGCTATCTATCATGCCATCAAACTAACCAATGGTCTTGAATGGCAGGCTTCAACATTTTCATAGCCAAGCACATCCACATTTGTGGCTCTAATGCAGTAGTTTGTCAAATAGGGAAAAACGCCAGCCCTGGATGTCAATTTCTTCATCATTTCTCCCAGAGACCTGTCACCTAATGGAGCATTGCAATACCATATCTGATCAAGGGCAGGATTGAACTTTGCTCCACTGAGGGCTCGAGGCTTCTGGAAGAAGAACTCCGCCCCAGGATGTAAATGAAGAAGATAGTTTTTCACGGTCTCAACTGGGCATCTTGGTGATCCTGGACATTCAAACATTTTTGCACTGGACCACTCTTCTTCTACACTTTTGACGACACCTTGGTGGGTGATGGAGTTGGCCATGAGGGCACCAGCCACGCCTCGGTTGATTTCAAAGAACCGTCGACCACTGAGAGTTGTTCTAAGAGCCAACATGTGCTTGGTCATTTTTCGTTGGTTTTCGCCCAAACTAAACCTGCCTCTCTTGCCAAAGTAAATAGAAATGTAGAACCAGACAGTATTCTGGAGCTGAGAGGGATCTTTCGAGTCGGCTGGACCAAGCTGACCAGACTGAAATAGCTTCTCCACAATTTCTGGAGTGAGTGATCCTTTGTGGACTACTTCAGCAATTTCACCACTTTTTCTCAGTGTTTTTACGAAGGCATCTAGTGCTTTATTTGCCTGGAAGAACTCAGGATCTGTTATGATACTGAATGGCTTCTTTAAGTTTGGACTTTGCAAATATCTGTCAAGACCTGCCCTGATGCTCCTTAAGGTGTTAGCTTTGTAAAAAAATCCGTCTTTTTGTCTAGCACCAAGGTAGAACTTCTCAAGGCACTTAGACAGCTCAGCTTTCTCCATTTCTTCCAACTGGGTTGAGAACTCTGTTTGCTGTGAGAACCACTCTAAAACACAACAGGGCATCATTTTTAGCCTTTGCAACCAGCATTAGGTTCTGCTATGGAATTTCTAGGAAACCTGGGTATACATAAAAACACATGTCTCTTTCTGCATGAAGTTCTCTTACAACTAAACAAGCCATCCCTTTAAATTGAAAATAGCAGCCAAAATTTTCTTATTAAAAAAATCCTGGCTAGGGTCTGGAATGGAGGGTCCTCACCCTGCACTCACTCTCCTTTTTCACGAGAATCCTGCATCCTAAGCCTCTGTTCCAATCCTGTATCCTCTGCCCACATTTTGGCGAATCCCGCTTTCCGGGTAGCAATCAAATCCCGTATCCCGTAACTTGTTCCGAATTATCCCGCACTGTATTTTCAAAATCTTGGATCTCGGGAATACCCTTCCACGATCTGTTGGGCTGTGTTTCATGATTGTTTCGTGCTCCAAAACTAATCTAAGTCGGGCGCAGGTTACCGTAAACTTGAATTAGCACGCGAACGATATTGTAAAAAAGACCATGAAAAATCGTGTTTGCTCGGGGTCTATTAAAATCGCTTACAAACCTAACACTAACCGTTAAAAATCTTTACAGCAAACTTGGTTGCTTTCTTGGTGTTCTCTGGTACCGCATTGTTAATGATTTCGTTCACTTCTGAGGTCGTAACGAGTTTAAAGCGATCCGCAGATGCCATTTTTGCATCGCTCCTCGAAAACACAAAAGTATCTTACATCGCTCGATATCTGTTGTCCGCGGGTATCCCGGATGACAAATATCAAAAGCAGCCTGACCATATTTGGACGATATTTTGTGCTCTGTTCTGTTTGTTGTGATATTTTGAAGGGAGCCATAATGACGCTTGATTTAATTAGTGTTACGGCACAAAAAATCTTGCTGATTGCAGAATGAACGAGAAATTCAAACAGCCTTAAATACTGCACGAAGTGCAGTCGGGTTACTTGGAAAAATTGTCCAAAGGATCGGCCGGCGGCTACTGGACTGGATTGGTGACACCTGGATTACCTTTTTTTCTAGATTTCTTTCCTTTTCTTCCTTGTACTCCTTTCTTTATTTCTTCACCCCCTAAGCGAAACTTATATAGGAAAATTATTGGCGTTCAACCAAAACTGCGACCAACTTGTTTCCCCATCGCACCCTGCTCGCTCCAGGGGCTGTGACGAAATATTGGAGGTGACCATGAACGGTCAATCATTTAAGACACAATAAAATCACTTTTTAAGTGATAACGACAAAATTATTCAACTCTCTACAGCTTAATCTGGAGGAAAATAAATGAAGTTGTAAGCTGTAACAGTATTTAAAATTAAAATGCTGTTTTTATGCTGTAACTTGGTGGAAGACGATTTTTTCTAATAGTAGCCTGTGAACAGGTTCTCTGTTTAGGGGAAAAATAGCAACCAAAGGCCTGTTCACAGGCTAACACATAGACTCAAGTTAATTTCGTGGCACTGGCACTTTAGTAAAATTTTGACTCATTTTAGTTTGGTGATTTTTAGATAACCACAGTCACCATAATTGCGTGACGTTTTGCGTGACTTTCGAAAGTTTACAGTGTCAGCGGTCTTCTTCATTCTCAGTCTCGTCTCCAAGGCGATCAGGAGCGATGTAACACAGGAGCAGATCATTCTCGAGCGAACGCTTGCAGAGAAAAAATATTGTTTTGTTTCAGTTTAGGTTTCCTGTTTTTCTCTTTTGAGGGATTACACAATGAGCGTAAGAACATACAATCCTTCAGTACTGATTGGTAATTGGAATGAAGATATATGCTTGGAGGAGGTAAGGCCGCTTTGAAGATTTTGTTGAGAAGAAAGTTTATTAGGTGAGATTAATGTGCGATAAAATGGTTTTTCTGTTGTTTTTCTTTATTCCTTTTTAGGACAAACTCAAAGATTTTCTTGACAAAAAAGAAAGAGGAGAGCTACTGATTCAAAAAGCCAGCAACCTGTTACAAAGTATATTGAAAAAGGTCGGAGTTTGTCACAATGCAGACACAAGCTACAAGTTTAAGTTCGCTGTTGCTATTTTATATATATACCGTAGCTATAGTTTATATTTAGCTAAAACTCAGGCTTACAATGAGTAATCAGGCCAAAGCATGTTATTCAAAGATTCCTTTTGTCTTTTTTAACACCCTGGAGAGGAAAATAAGATAAACAGATAAACAGAGATCACAGTCTGACAGATGTTGCAAGCAGTTCAATACATTCATGTCTTCCATTCCAACTCTCGATTCAATACTAATTATATATTTAAAACTACTCAAAGACCATAATTTGATTTCTTATTTTTCCAATTTTCCTAGATCTGTCTTGGTTTACTAGTATGCTTAAGCTTACTGTGGTTCCATCAAGGCCCAGGGCGGGAATTTTTTCAGCCAGTTTTGTTTGCAAAGGCATGAGTACATTGTGTTTCCAGAGATTAGATCCTTGTAAATAGTAAGGGGGGCAATGGAGGTTGCACGGATGTGCTGGACCTAGAATCTTCTTAAGGTGATTCGCTGGTTCTGCACTTTGCATCTCTTACTGCGCATAACAAGGTGGCTGCCATGAAAAAGAGCATCTGAAATAACATTATTCAAATGAAGTTGACTGAACAGAAAATGTTGTCATGACTATCTGTGTTTAATGTCTGTGCTTTTAGTTTCAAATTATATTCACCAGTTACGGAAATCACATGTTGTGAATATAGTAAATCACATACCACCCTGTTTATGCGTAATCATGCCTCATGCAGCTAATTTGGGCCTATCATGCATCAGGTAAAAAATTCAGTACCCATCACATATCATGGAAAACCCAGCTTTGTAACATGAATATACAGAGATAAAACAGTATTATTTAGCAGGTTACTCAGGGGATGTGTGACATTTCTGATAGCCCAGGGATGGCCCTGGAAATGCCCACCCCTGGGGATACTTCCATATACAGTGTGTATGGGCTAGATAGGTATATTCCTTAGAGTATTAGGAAAGTGATTTAATGAAGGTTTGTGTGTTGTTTTGTTTTGTTTTTTCTTGAATAGGGTGTCAGTTTTTGGGTTTGATCCTTAGAATTAATTAAGGTGTCAATTTTTGTTTGTTTTATCCTTAAATAGGATCAGGGTTTAAGACCCTGGGTGGCACACACCTATCCCCCCCTCACTGGGTGCCGACCATCCCTCCCTGGTGCAAAAGACATTGACAGGGGCATTAGGAATAATTGCTTTTGGGTTAAATTGGTGTTTAAAAAAGAAAATTAAGTATTGTGGCATTAACAAAATCAAATAAAGGCAGGGCCTGGGTGGACTCACTTAAATTTCCATGGGAGCAATTGCCACCAGTTCGAACCAGTTCACTGAGACTGGATCAACCTGTTCCATTGGACATTCAGATTGAGAATTAACTCAGGGCTTTGTGGGAAGCAAAATTTTTACTCAATATGAGGATTTGTCATGTTTCCACAGGTCAGTCTATCAGTGTCTCATGATGGCTACCTCCATTTTGGAGACATAGTTTGCTTATACAATCCATCAACAGAATCCACCCTGTCTGCAAATATGGCAGAGAGCAAAATGCATGATGAGAAGAAATTGGTTGGACCCTGTGATGTCTCTGCATCCAAATCAACTGATTCTTGCATTCGAAATACATTTGTGATACTTGGATGTATGTAAGTAACCAGTCAGTATACCGTTATCATGGGTACTAGTCAGGGCTTGGTGGCGGAAAATAAGTCAAATTTCACGGGATTTTCAGAGACAGATTCACAGAAAAATCGGCCGATTTCGCGGAAATTTCGTGGAAATTTTCAGGGCTAACTTCGCCGAAAAACAATCAGTCAAAAAACGGCTGATTTTGTGGGAATTTTCTGGGCAAATCTCTCTAGATATCGATCAATTTTGCACTGATTTGATGAGCATGTTCAATGTTTTTAAACAGAGACAATCATTTGCTATTTTAACAACAAAGCACTCAAGAACTGAGCCAATGGCAAAGCTTTTAACATCATGACTAGTGAACAGTTTTTCGCATCATATTTACACCCTGTAGTTTTGGGACGTTGTTTGCTTGTGGTGGTGATGATGAGCCAAAATGTATGGAAGAACTCAGGTTTTCTAAAAAGCAACAAAGGACTGCTATGCACTTCAGATTTAGTGTGTACTTTCTTCAAGCTCATTAGTTACCTTTTTCATTTTTTACATTTACTCTTTTTCTACTCTTGTACATGTGAATCTCGGGCATTTCTCCCACTTGGCTAGGAATAGAAAATGGAGATGACTGTTATGCAGGCTAATGTATCATTACTTCTGTATCTTTACACTAAGTCAAATTTGTAAGCAAGCTGTTTGTAAGAGATCTTTCAAGTGNAAAATGTATGGAAGAACTCAGGTTTTCTAAAAAGCAACAAAGGACTGCTATGCACTTCAGATTTAGTGTGTACTTTCTTCAAGCTCATTAGTTACCTTTTTCATTTTTTACATTTACTCTTTTTCTACTCTTGTACATGTGAATCTCGGGCATTTCTCCCACTTGGCTAGGAATAGAAAATGGAGATGACTGTTATGCAGGCTAATGTATCATTACTTCTGTATCTTTACACTAAGTCAAATTTGTAAGCAAGCTGTTTGTAAGAGATCTTTCAAGTGTAAGTAGCAAGGAGACTACTATACCCAAGCTACAAGTAATAAAGCCAGCTGTGAGGAATTTTCTCTCATCAGTCTTGTGACTCACTTTGCTTAATCTCAAATGGAGCCTCTTGCGCTTGACAGGGGCACCCAATGACTATTTCCTGTAAAATATCTGTTCAGAGAAGCAAATATTGTCTGGAATTTTCTATTACTTGAGGACGGCTAAAAATTTCCAGGTGACTGTTCCATTCATGTACAATATTCGAGGCTAATTATCTAATAAATTCCCTACGATTTTCTGAATTTTAAATTTTCAAATTTCACTGCCCAGGTTAGGCTTATTTTTGGTACAAAATGGAAACCTAAATTTTCGGATAATTCAAAGATGTGATGGAGAGAGGAATTTTAGGGAAAATGATACTGAAGCCCTTGTAATTTTGAAAAGACTTGCTAGCCTCAAGTTCCCCTAGGATGACTGAACAGGTACAAATTTAATAGCGCCACTTAGAATGCATTCTATAGATCTATATTATTCTGGGTAGCCTAAAAAGTGTTTTCTATGTATTAAGGAGGAAACCGTCGTTGGGTACCCCTGACTAAAGCTTTTAGAGAACTTACAGGTTCTCACCGGATAACAATAGCTAACAATGAACATAATTAGTCTGCACTGATGGTATCATCTTTTTGTTTTAATTTATTTTGTTTCGTTTTGTTTTTGTTTGTTCCTTTTTTTGACCAGGCCTAGGGATAAAGGCAAGGTGTTAAGATATAATGAACCATTCATCCTGAGCACGCTGCCTGCAGTTGGAGGAGATGTAAGAATTTCTTAGTTTTAACGCACTCTAATAACACCTATTTAAAACCGTTGGACCAATTTCAATGGTTTCTCTTTTTTTTTCTCTCACTTCAACATGGCACTACCCTATATCCTTCAGTGCCGGATCCAGACTTTGAGATAAGGGGGGCCCGGTCATCCATACCCTTAGATAAGAGGGGGGGGTCTCCAAAAAAATGTTTTCGGCCCTTTGGGCCTTAGTTTGGTCTAAAAATAAGGGGGGAGCGGGCACCTCCCCTGGATCTGCCACTGTCCTTATCGCATTCTTTTCACTTTGCAGCTCAAGTTAAAGACTGACAGAACATCTTTTAACGAATGTGCAAAGAAGTCAAGACAGCAATTAGTGACTCTTGTTGATAATGCGACTTTCATGTGTCATTGGTGAGAACACTTGGGAGTGGTCTCTTTTTAATATAGTTTTCCCAGATATAGTTTAAGAAAGGGCGAAAATTGTTCGCAGCGCAGCGCATCTTCTCGCGATGATTTTGCACGCGCATGCGTTATTTGCTCACTTTACTCAATTAGAGACCTTTCAAAGTCAAGGGCAACCAAAGACTGTTTTCTGTAAAATATCTGTTTGGAGAGGCAAATATTGCCTAGAATTTTCTGTTACTTGAGGACAGCTAAAAGTTTCTAGATGACCGCTCCATTCATGTACAATTTTCCTGAGATTTTCAATTTTTTCAAAAAAAAAAACGTTTTGAAAGCCAATTTTTTTCAAATTTCACTCCCCAGATAAGGCTATTTTTCGTAGAAAAAAGGAAACCTAGCCTAAAATTTTCGGATTCAGAAATGTGATGGAGAGAGGAATCAGAAAAATTCTCACTTTCGTACTATGTTCAAATGCATCTAAAATTTCGGGAGAATAATACTCAACCCATTAATTTCAAAAAGACTGAAGTTCCCCAAGGATGACCGAACAGATATAAATTCTATAGCGCCGCTTAAAATGCATCTCTAGAGATCTAAAGAGCCTAAAAAGAGTTCAGTTTCAATGTATTTAGGATGCGTTGTTGGGTGCCCCTGCATAGTTAGCCACTAAACAGACGTTGTATTCTTTTTTTGTCTTTTGAAGTCAATAAATCCCCCGCAGTTTTTATTTTCACACGCGCGCTCAACGATCCCTAGCCTGCATGACAGGCGCTATTTTTTCGCGTTTTTCAGGAGAGCGAAGGCAAACGCGAAGCACGCGAGGAGCGCCAGGCACGCGCCGCTTACCTTCGTTCTCCTAAAATACGAGAAAAAATAACGCCTATTTTGCAGGCTAGACGATCTCTAAATAGAAAATAGAGGGTCTGTGAACAGGCTATCTCATAGTCTCCCCCATCCTTGAAAGGCGCCTGTGCTCTCGCCAGAGTGTATTTAACGGCCTTTTTTCATAAAGTCGCAGGCAGATGAACAAAACAAAAATTATAGGAATTGGAGCAAATGAATGAAGACGGTATACTACTGAGGAGAAATAAAAAAGCCAAAGAAATAATAAAAATGTATGTAGCCGATGTCAAGCTTGGAAAACACATGCGAACTACTGAAAGAGTTTTAGTGTCAGCTCTAATACGTGTCCAGTTGGCTGAATTAATAGCGGCGAGAGATTTTTTCAGCCAATCGCAGCAGTCAGCATGTAGCAATGAGAACCCAAAACAATTTAATACGAAATTATATTCTACTGTAATTCAAAAGCTGCTAAAATTATCAGTTTTCTCGAGATCAATAATCAAGCATGCAAAATTTCACCCTGATGCAGGACAACGATCTTCGAAATGACTTTAAACTGGTAACTGCAGAAATAAGAGAAAAAGAGAAAAAATAAATACCACTCACTATGCATTGTCTTTTCAGGAAAATTTTTTGTTTTAATCCACAAGATCGCCTAGAGACAGAAGGAATGCCAGTCCCGGTAAGATTTCGATTTACTGTCGTTTCACCAATGAGTCGTCTCGCTAACGTCCTGGGCCCGGTTACTCGAAGCATGGTTAGCGTTAACCAGCGTTTAATACCTTGACAACGTATTGGTTTTGATACTGCTTAACCAATGGTTAAAGCTAACCATGCTTTGAGCAACTCAGCCCAGTTCGCCAGACGTCAACGTGCTAGGTCAGTTCGTCAACTTCTTTAACCAGATCAATGATTTAACGAACGAGGTATACATATTTTTATCGGACTTTTACGTATTATAGCTGAAAGAACAAGGTAAATACATCTGTAGAGCTTTTTTCGTTCTTAAGCTAAACCACTTAAACCTTGGCGAACAACCTTGGTGAACGGGACGGTAAAGAAACTAAGCAAAGGCGAAACGACAAGTCGCCAAGGTTCGGATCTCAGGTAAGAGTCCCAAGTAGAAAGGAATCTCGCCAAATTTAACCAACTGTTAAGTTCAACTCGTAACACGATCACATTTCTTCGGTTGAAGACGCAAAATACACTCATTCACTTTACTATCTGAAAACCTGGACAGTGAAGCCCACTACCTATGGCCATAGTGGTCATTGTAAATTAAGTGTATAACAAGAAAACGATTCACTTTATTCGTTTCTAAGGGTTGCGGAAATGTAGATGACTGAGTAGCATGCCTATATTAAGTTATAGAACACCAAACTATGTGATGTTCGGCTATCCATGGGTTGGTTACTACGAGGGCGAGTGACGAGTGAAGCGAACCGCGCGAGGACGAAGCGCGAGGGGCGAAGTTCGCGCGTGAAGTCTCACGATATCCCCTTGCTCGCAAGCTATGGGGCCGTACACAAGGATGTACATTAGGGCCGTTTATACCAGAGAATAACAGGTTATTATAGTCACTAGACCATGACCCCTGCTGATGGCTGGAATTTATTTTTCTTCTGTTTTTTTTTTTCCCGGTAGGCAAACACGAAAATCATACTGAACCACGTCAAAACCAATCAGAATCTTGCAGCCTTGCCGGAGTATTCATTTAGGTATGTAACAGCACAGGCAGCCCAAGTTCAGCATGAGAGTTTTTAAATCATTGATACGGCCATTTGAGGAATACGCAGCGCAATATGGTACCACACGTATTACCGTCGGTTACATCTAAGCGTGTACACATGAGGAAAAAACATGTTCTAATTGGGTGCAAACATGACATGTTTTNGTTATTATAGTCACGAGCCCATGACCCCTGCTGATGGCTGGAATTTATTTTTCTTCTGTTTTTTTTTTTCTCCCGGTAGGCAAACACGAAAATCATACTGAACCACGTCAAAACCAATCAGAATCTTGCAGCCTTGCCGGAGTATTCATTTAGGTATGTAACAGCACAGGCAGCCCAAGTTCAGCATGAGAGTTTTTAAATCATTGATACGGCCATTTGAGGAATACGCAGCGCAATATGGTACCACACGTATTACCGTCGGTTACATCTAAGCGTGTACACATGAGGAAAAAACATGTTCTAATTGGGTGCAAACATGACATGTTTTTCGCTAAACATTCGAAGTTTGGAGTAGGTGGCTGTTGTCGACTTAATTTGTTTCCGCTCAACAAAATATTCTTTGCAAGAATTTTTAGACGTTAAGAAACATTTCTGGAGTCAAGTGTGCTGTTTCTGAGCGAAAAATACACCTGAAAGTTGAGAAAAATGAAATATGACCGAAACGCGCTGATCAAAAACATATAAACAACTTACCTTTGGCACGATGGTTTGCTTTAACAGCTGTCAAACTTCAAATGTTTGGCGGTTAAACACGTCATGTGTGGCACCCTATTACGGAACATGTTTTTTTTGGTCTCGTGTCCACGCTTAGATGCAACCGACGGTAATGTTTAAACTCTCATACTGAGCTTGGGTAGCCTGTGGTAAGAGAACTTTGGCATTGCAGATCGATCACTTCTTTGTAACAGAAAAAAGGACATACTGAAAAAAAAATAACTGATTGCTAAGTCGCAAGTTCTTTCCAGCAAGCTTTAAAATGTTTTGTGCAAATTAACACTTATTGTTACACATCTTCATTTTTTTTTAGTTTTGTTTCCCTTAGTTTTTTTCTTTCCAGGTTTCAGTGGCTCATGCTGATACCTGCTTTTCCTGCATAGTCAAGAACCAGACAAAAACATTTTTCAGAAAACACTGAGCTACCCCAGCTGAATTGTCTATGAATTGGCCATGTTTGTAGGGAATTGTGTCAAGTTCACATACTGAAAGAAAAATTAAACTTCTTACTTTCACCTTCTCTACCAAACCGTCAATTTAATCACGCCTTTCAGTTTCCAGATAATGGTTAAGAGATGTCCAAAATTGTCTCTGTTTCGTTATTTGTGCCAGCCTGGCCTCTACGCGTTTTCGGCTCAGTCAAACGTGGACTCTACCGTGAGCCGTTACCGAAAAGCCGCCGGAACGTTCCCTTTCTCAGTTGCGCCCGTGTACGACGGGGCAAGAGAGAACGCCTTGGGACCAGGCTGGTTTTTGTGCCTGTTCTTGGGGTTGCTTAGGCCCCACAAGCTCTGACCTGACCTTGATTTATGTTAGAACGCCGTTTGGACGAGAGTGTGAGGTAGTAGCCAAAACAGAAGTGGACTCGCATAAAGCAGAGACGCCAAGCAATCATTGGGTTTTTGTGACACGAGAGGTCAAAGACGCGGCCAGAGAGCACGAGCTGGAGCGGGAACAGGAATTCAAGGATCTACTAACAAGGCAACAAGCCGCTGAAGCTGAAGGAGCCCCTCCTAAAGAGGAGATACCCGGTAGATCTGAAGAGACTCAGCCCGGGGGGAGCGGACAGCCTGCTCAATAGCACCTCACCCTACCCTTGTCATCCTTTGTTAATTTTAAAAAGATTTAGTTTAGTCTTTTTCCCTTAGTTATAGTTCCATTCTGCTTAATGAACTCACTCTTTCCTGTTTTATGGTTTCTTTTATTTATAATAGTTGTGACTTTCGATCAATTTGTAGTTCATTGTATTTTCACTCTAGCTGTAAATAATCTCAAAACTCGTGCTCTGTTAATAGTTAAAAGTAAATAAATTATGTTTTTGATGCAACTGAGTTTACGTTGCCGATATCTGACAAACCTAATACCGACTAATGCTACAGTAACGAAGCGATTATTTTTCCCCCTAATACTTATCTTCTAGATAAGGATTTATCCGGTGGATAGCTCTATCAGGGTTTGAACAACTGGGGCATCAAAGCTGCTGCAGTGAGTCTGCTTTGCGCGGTCGAAACGTCACGATAAATACAATGTATCTAAGGGTTGATTTCCACTGTTGCGTAATTGTTCCGTGCGAACGCACGTAGAAGTTACGTGCTTAAATGAAATAGAGGCAATGTATGAAAGGCCACGCGTAACATAAAAGTTGAGGGTGGTTCAACTTTTACGTATACGCGTGACCTTGGCGACTACCGTGAGACAAGCGACAAACGAAACTATTAACCCCTTACACACATGCCACGATAAATAACATGTTTCATGATAGAAGTATATTATGTTTTCTCCAATGTTCCCCTTATTGTTTCGTATTTTATTAGAAAATAACCAAGAGGCCCGAGAACCGACCCCGATGGTACAACATGGTCCAGAGCATAAAAGGTGACTACCCTGGTCTACCCACGACCTTCCTTTCAACCTAATGGTTTCGCTCGAATTGGGGACGGAGCAAGCATTGTAGCAGCTAAGACAAAGTTAATACCGTCGCGTCAACAATTTTTTCTCGCTAAAAAACCGAGACTTGCGAATTCGACCTTTTGTTTTGTTTGCTCGGTGGTCTGCGGGGAAAGGAACAGGTTTTCCTATTTGGCTTATGGCCAAAACGTTCGAGAACGGTTACCAAATGCAGGTTACAAAGCAGACGTTTTTTTTTTAACGATTCTCAGAGGTTCCTTATAAGAAATTGAAAAACTAAGGGAGGAGGGGCGGGGAGAAAAAAGGAATACTCTCCTCTTGGAATCATTTTTTAACTCGCCCCAATTCTCTATCAGTTTGAACGTCCAAGATGGCAGGAGAACATTCGATCGTTCACACTACAAAATACGCCTGCTTTGCAGGCTAGCATCAACCCAGTTTAGCGTCCTTTTTACTGTTCGCAATCATTACCCAAGCAGCGGCCACATGAATTCATTCTCTTCTTACTTCTGCTGGGCTTAAATTAACATCCGTAATCTTTTTCTAATCTCATCATTGTCTATTTCAAACTGTATTGTAAAATTTTATACAATATAAACACAGTAATGTCTGGTAAAAAGAAAGGGCAAAACGCTTTAACGGACATCAACATATTTAGCCTGTTAGAACGCGCAAAGTTCCTATATTGTGTCCTGTTTAAAAGTTTTTCCTCGATAATTTTTTTCCAAAAGGACAAAATAAAAATTTTAAAGAGATTTCCTTGAAGTGTACTGAAGCTGCTTCAGATCGTATTTAGGGTCTATAACACTAATCCTTCCAGTCAGGATTGTACTCCAGTGTCTCTACAGGTCGCCCAAGCTCAATATGAGAGTACGTGCGGTTGCGCAATTTTAAAAATAATTCTAAAAATGTGGAACTCTGGATAAAGGAAATTGCTTAAATTGCAACGGATCGGGAAAATAACCACACAGGAAGCAAGAAGACACCAAGCAAACAAGGTAAAGCGTATTTTATTTAAAATTCATGCGAGTATTTTTCTCCTCGAATCTATACCCATACAAATCCTTTATAATGACGGCCATTTTGAAAATTACGCAACCATTGAGCTTGGGCTTCCTGTGGATAGAAAAGCAACGCACTTTCTCTATTTATTTTTTCTAAAAGAAGTTATTTGCTGGCTTATAAAAAATAGAGATAACTAATTCTGAGTTTAATATTTTACTAATACTAGCCTGCGAGCAAGCTCTCCTATTTGGGCGAGCGAAGCGAGTCTCGCGAGAACGCGCGAGCGAGTGGCGAAGCCGCGAGGGGCACGCCCAAATAGCAGAGCTTGCCCGCATGCTATACTAATACGAGAATTTACTTTTTCCGGTCATGAAAAAATACTGTTCGCTATTTTTTTTTACATTTCTTTAATCTTTAATCGTTATTTATACACTGTTAAAATATTCATCAGGTACAATAAATTCTAATGTAATGACTATCATCAAGAGAGGATAAAGGGGACAGAGAAGGCATCCCCCATACACACCCTATTCCATAGGTAATTCTATATTTAGAATCGGGATAAAGTTACCTCGCGCGCTGCGTGGATGTTTCGTGGAGGTTTCGCATGACTAAACGAGGTGCAAAACATGTCGGGCGAAAGGCAATGAAAGCGTAAAGAGATCGAGAGCATTTCTGAATATTGAAGCGAAATGAGTCGGCGCTCACCTGGGAAAAGGGAATCGCTCGACTCTTTAACAACCCGTGAAATCAGTTTAACTCGAAGTTATCGTAACCTCAGTGCTTTAATAAAATGAGAAATTTCGCCGGTCTATTGAAACCGGTCGTTTGTACAATAAAGCAAGTAACAAGTAATATTCATGTACATGTAATTAGTTTTACAAATTTGAATTTTATTGTAGTTTTTTTAAGTTGTTAAGCGCTGTTGATCAGTGAATGTAAATAGCGCTCTAGAAGTTATTAAATTATTATTATTATTATTATTATTATTATTATTATTATTATTATTATTATTATTATTATTATAGGACGCCAAGTGTTATTTTTTGTTGAATAATAAAAGACTAATAAAAGAATAAGTATCAAACCAGAAATTGCTCTCTTCAAACTGTAAATTATAAATGAACCTCAGAGAATATTAAATATATTGAGTAGGGTGGATTGAGGCACAAATGGCTTAACTCGCTTTATGGCTCCAATTGCAGAAGCGATCTTTTTACACAGTTTATCAATTGGGAAATGCCACATTAAATTTTCGTCGATATATCAGTCCAAGTGATTTCACAGAGGGAACTTGTTCAATCGGAACATTATCAATCGAAAGTTCGAGTGTATCAAATAGAGTACTTAATCTTTGCCTGGAGCCGATCAACATAAATTCAGTTTTTATAGCGTTCAAGGTGAGTCTGTTAGACACAAGCCATTTGCTTAGCTTTTCAAGGTCGTGAGATAGACTAGACTGAATCAAATGCAAATCAGAACCAGCATAAGTAATGTGGGTGTCATCAGCATACATTGTAGGTATGCTGAACGAAAGACAGTTAGGCAAATCGTTAATATAAATTAGAAAGAAAAGAGGGCCAAGGATCGTTCCCTGTGGCACACCACATTTAAGAGTGGTGAGGTCAGAGAGACAACCGTTAACTGAGCACCGCTGTGTGCGATTCGTCAAATACGATTTAAACCAACCAAGAGTTTTACCTTGAATTCCACACCGATTCATTTTAGTTAGTAATATCTTATGATCAACAGTGTCGAATGCCTTTTTTTAAGTCGAGAAACACTACAGCATTGACGTAGCCACGATCGATATTAAACGCCCAACTGTCAGTGGCTTTTAAATGAGTGCAGTAACAGTTAAGTGTAGAGACCGGAAACCAGATTGTTGTTTAGAGATGATTTCTTCACTATTTAAGAAGTTGTATAACTGATCTTACACAATCCTCTCGAACACTTTGGCGACTACGGAAATGACTGAGATAGGTCGGTAGTTGTTTGAACTTGCACATTTCCAGTCGTCAGGAAATATGCCAAACATCAGAGATTTCTTAAACAGATCGTATAACGGGCCTGAAATTATATCAGCACACTCACGAATCAACCTAGCAGAGATATTATCTAACCCTGTACTTTAGTCTTTGGCAATTTATTTAGATGGGTAAAGACATAACTGGTAGTAGTTGGACGAAAACAGAATTTGTTGTAATTTTCAGTAATATTTTTTAAATGAATAGACTCCCGGAACATTTGTTGTAAAATTTATTGCTTGCCTGCCTCTCCTAGGATTTTCGAACATCTAAAAACTAGTATAATTGCCCATTTTTATAGCCGGATTTTTACCCTAAAAAGATCATCTAGACTTTCGGGAGCCTTTTATTTGGCTGAAATTTTCGAGAAGGTAAGTTTTGATCCCTATAATTTTCGAATCACTAGACTCTCAGCTAGGGAATCTGAACAGATGAAAAATTTTTAGGGGGTGAAAATATGCCTATACCGTTTAAATACTAAAATACGTTTAACAATGCTATGTTTGAGTGGTTTTGAACCATATTCTGGTTGGATGCCCCTGAGACTCCTCGTCGGAAGTTAAAGGTATTTCGCGGGCTAGTCTGGGCCCAGTAGTTGAAAAGTGTTCGTTAAAGGCGTTGGAAATCTCGTTACAGTTACAGATAGAGATGTCATTTACTTTCACATCCTTTACTATCTGGTTGCTCTGACGACGAGACATGAGGTTGTTACTATAGTTTTCCAAGCAGGTTTCCAAGTCCTTCGGGCATTTCCTTCGGATTGAATAGAACTATTATGATAGTAGGATGCCTTAGTGGTTTTCACTTTATTGTTGATTCGATTTCGGAGATTTCTGTAATTGCCCCCGTCTTGACGACACTGTTAATGTTCAAACAGGCCATTTTGAAACCACGTTTAGCTGGTAAAGAATTAGACATATTGGAAGGACCCGAACTACCTGAATGAACTTCGTTGTCTACTAATTCTGGCAACGTTTGAGAAACTAGAGTTAGAATTAGGAAATCAGTTAGATCTTATAAAATTTACAAAGTTCTTTTGCAATAGTTCGTTACCTTCCCTGTTTAGGTGCAGTACACCTTTGTTAAGTCCTTTTGAACTGATGTTAGCATGGCTGATGAGTTTCCAGTTATTTTGGTTGCAAAATTGTTTTAGACGTTTGTTTACCGCTTTGACGGCGTCGCGGTAATCATCATTCCTTGCAGTTAGTTCAGATATAACTATTTCAGACTCGGAAGCATTCTCAACCTCTCTCACTGGCCAAGTCTATGATAGCATCTGCCACATCGCTCGGTGTAGATGATCTTAGATCGTTGGTACCCACATGTAGACAAATTTGATGAGGAGACTTATTAATTGTAGGAACAACATGCAAACGCACGTCGCGAATTGTGGCTCCGGGGAACGGCTTGATAACAACCCGTTGTCCCACAGTCTTAGCTAGTTTTATTGCCTGAACATTCTTTATTATGCAGTCACCAACGATGACTGTGGTCCGCTCGTTGTTTATTGTTTGAGACGCGCGATGTCAGTAGAATCTTTCTTCCAACTGGTAATTGACGCTCTCTCTTTTTGTTTCTGGGCATTGTCTTGTTATCACTTCCTGTCACCCAAGGGGTTTCCTCATCATGCAAATTTTGCTCATTGATATGTTCATGTTAATTTCGTTGTTTAAAAGTTTTAGAGCAATCATTAAGCTTTCATTTTCATCTTGAATAGATTTCGCTTCACGCTCTAAAGAGTCGTAGCGGTCTTCCACGTCGCGCAGTTCTTTAAGTTGTTGGTTTCGTCTCGTGCCGAACACAATAGCAAAGTATCAGTTTGGTCAGAGACGGCACTCGTTTTCTGGCGGGTACTTCGTACGTCATATGCATTTCTACCCATAGCCATGTGACTTCTTTGTTCTCCCATCACCAAACAAACCGCCAGCACGGCAGGCTACTGCTGCGACTGGACCTTGCACGTTACATGCTCGTTAGAGTTTAGTGAGGCCACAAAAACTGGACTTCGTTTCTTGAAGAGTCTGGATACAACAATGGTAATGTACATTTGATTCAGTTCAGATTTTTGACGACTTCGGCGGAAAAATGACAGATGAGACGAAAGCTTTATTTCGCGTAAAGCTACGTGAAAATTACGGCCAACAATGGCCAACAAGGTTGCGTTCGCTTGCACGCGGCTAAAAGTTTGACTAATGAAAACTTCGGGCAGTTTTTAGATTCTGGGACGTGTTTTGCATTTTTCTACGAAGTTCCTTGTGTTAACCTCCTAGATTTTGCCGCCTGTGCGGGGTATGGAGTGATTCTTTTATGTACTTAATTCAATGTATTAGGTTCGGCCCATGAAAAATTCGACGTCTGAACTAAGCTGAACGAGTTAGGGGGTAGTTTATTACATCAGACCTGGACGAACTCAGACCGGTATGAGTTCGTATCGGTCTCCATACATTTCTTTTCATGCGCTCACATGGGACCGGCAGAAAAATGAACTGCCGGACCGGTTTGACTTCGTCTCCGTCGCTGACCCAACACGACTGAGTTACTTTCGTACTGGTCTGAGACCGTAACTCTCTCATATAAAACGGAAACGAATCTCAGACTCCTTGCTTTTTCGTAGCAAAAAAAGGGAACACTGCTATGGATAACATCAGTAAACTAGACTTAGAAATAGCTTGAACCGAATATGTGCTTAGATTAATGTGAGGGATTGCACCATTTTGAGTTGCTGTGCAGCAAATATTAACAGGCCACCAGAAAGCTTATAATTTTCTGGGAGCAGTACAACTCTACGTTTGTCCACTCACTGTCTACTGGTGTAAATTGTGTACCAGTTAGGAACGTTAGTTATTTAGCTGCAAGAATCTCCTGTTTTTTATTTTGTACCGCCCGTCATGTTATCGACCAAGCATTTCGTCCTGGTCTCATGTGCATAAATTACAAATTTGTACCGGTCTGAGTTCGTCCCGGTCTCACGTAATTGCCTCCGTAGTATGTTCAATCTAAAAAAAAGGACCCTACTTTTCATTTTCTAATTTTTAGCAATATATTTAAACGAAAATAAAATATTAACACGGTAAAAAATTTCGGTTGCGATGAGTGCAAGGCTTGCATGGCAGTCAGCCGTGTCGAAGGTTATTTCCATACCACAATTGTGTGATCAATCTCGAGTAAATTTTCAAAGAAAAATCGATTTGTATTCGTTTTAACGCATAAGCCTGTGCAGAAAGACCGTGATGAAATATCATTTTGGGGAGTTTTCGACTCAAGCTGTTTAGAAAACGAAGACCTCTGACCCACACAAAAACGACGACCTCAAAAATGTTACCTATTGACAACGACCATGAAGGGGTGACCCTATTGGGTGGAATGGCGGACTCACGGAATGATGGAACGGAATGGCGGAATACACGGAATATTCTAAAATATGGAATTTACAGAATATTCTGTATTTGATTTGAACGGGACTGACAAAAAAAGCAGAGGCTAAGAATATCCGGTTGTTTTGAAATATTAAAAATTCAATTTTCGTACTGCTGTACTCTATACGACGGTTCTGAAAGCCATCTTGACTGGTGAAGGGTCTTGTATGGGAATCTAATGCCGGATAGTTTTCATAAACCGGCTGTTCTGAAAAAAAAAAAAAGAATTGTAAACTTAAGCTTCACACCAAAGGATTGTACTAACAATTAATGGGGGCCGCACCTTTGCCTAAATTTGTCCAGCCGCTTGGTTTAGATTTTCCAGACATTTGCCTGCAATTTTTCATGGGAAATTTTAGTCGGCCGGAAGAAAACTTTTTTACATACAGCACTGTATATTTTCACAAGGTTTCCTACACGTCAAGATGGCCTCCAAAACCGTAATGATTCGATTTAGCGCCCCCTTTCGAATGAGCGAGTGCATAAATTCTTCAAACGAATGATCTCTTCTTCAAAGTTTGTGGCGATTGCTCGGCTAGTCGTTCTGGCGCCGGGAAGGATCCAATGGAAAACAAGTCCGTTTTTCGGTCTCCTTGATCCAGTCACCTTTTCTTGCACTTTGTATAGAGTGTTTTGACATGACGTCATGGCGGCCATATTGGTGTCCCAAACCAATCCTCTGGGAGTTGAACTCTTTTCTTATGCAAACGCTTCCTTTTGTTCCAATAAATTTGCATAGATGCTGGCCAAGTGAGTGAAAACACTCTATAGTATGCTTTGCTTACAAGAAGATGGGCCTATAACTTGGGGGGTATAAGCGGCAATTTACGTTGTTTATCTGCTACAAGGTGTAAAACTTAAGGGAAGGGAAGAGAAGGGAAGTATTGGTTATTTTCCATTTACATGAAAATTTAATTCTTCCCAGAATCGCGTTTACCATCTGCACAATTCAAATCCGGTTGCCAAAAACGTCCGAGAAAGCCTGAAACTAGTATCAAAGACGCATTTAAGGAAATGGAGCACGAAGCAGTTTGTAATTCCGTAGTAAGCATTCCGTCCGGAGAAACAGGACTACCTTTTCCGAAATTCCGTTTTTAATTGCTTCAGTACATCTTCCACTGGAACGACCCGAAAAGTTGTCTTCATTTACTTTCCAACTCGATTTTCGGGAAACGTTTTGTAAATGAGAAATGATGTGATCAACATGTCACAAGTACAGAACAAAGAAGAAATCTGAGTTCCCGACAGGAATTGAACCTGTGACCTTCCATATCCCGGTCGGATGCTCTAACCACTGAGCTACGAATGACTCGTGGCCAGCTGGGCGATATACAGTGTTCATGTATAACATACGTCCTGCGCACTGCTAGGATCAATAGTAAAAAACCTTTGCATCGATCATTGCATTCATCAGTTTTTCGTTTTAATTTTTTTCCTAACTCAAATGATTAATTCTTTCTAGAATACTCCACGGGAAAACAACCCCTCGTGCCTGCTTCCCGGAAGGCCATGGGTGAGTAAGCAGCAAGCTGTTACCTTAGCAACAAACCTGTTCAACCTGCACATTTTAGATGATTCTTCTGTGAAAGAATTGGACGGTTATGACGACAGGAATTTTTTTGTCCGTGGTTTGTTGAATACAGAGGGAAAAGAGAAGGAAACACTTCCAAGTCATGAATACGTTCTGAAAGTTGTGAACCACATGGACTCGAATCACGAAGGTTTAATGAAGACTCAATCTGACGTCATGTCATTTCTCCAGTCACGTGACCATGCTTGCCCTGTTCCAGTCCCTTCCATTTACGACACTACATTTGTCATGTGCAAAATACCCAAGGTTGCCCCGGCTGATAGTGTTACCATGGAAACCAATGAGTTGGCCAATAAAGAAGAGATAGAAATTTACAACGGTGAGGAGTATTCTAAAGAAGCATACTATGTGTGTGCTGTGCGATTACTGACTTTTGTACCCGGACAAATGCTGCACGAAATACCGCTTAACACCCAACTTTGCTTCGATGCTGGGTTCGCCTTGGGAAGACTGCATCAAGATTTAAAGGTATGACCTTACAGGGCGGAGCCTATCATACAGAGTTACCGTATTTATTCGAATAAGCGCCCAACCTCGAATTAGCGCCCACCTCGAATAAGCGCCCATCCTGAAGGAAGAAAAAGTTAATAAGCGCCTAGCCTCGAATAAGCGCCCAGCCCCTCCTCCTCCTAATCAAACTCAAATAAGCGCTCACCCCCACCCCACCCACTTGAGTGAATAAAGTCTAATAAGAGACTTCCCCGAGGACGGAGTTTTCTTCAGAGTACTTTACAGAAACCTTGCTTTGTTACTTCTTCGCGTTTTGTTATTAGCATTTATTGTNATAAAGAAGAGATAGAAATTTACAACGGTGAGGAGTATTCTAAAGAAGCATACTATGTGTGTGCTGTGCGATTACTGACTTTTGTACCCGGACAAATGCTGCACGAAATACCGCTTAACACCCAACTTTGCTTCGATGCTGGGTTCGCCTTGGGAAGACTGCATCAAGATTTAAAGGTATGACCTTACAGGGCGGAGCCTATCATACAGAGTTACCGTATTTATTCGAATAAGCGCCCAACCTCGAATTAGCGCCCACCTCGAATAAGCGCCCATCCTGAAGGAAGAAAAAGTTAATAAGCGCCTAGCCTCGAATAAGCGCCCAGCCCCTCCTCCTCCTAATCAAACTCAAATAAGCGCTCACCCCCACCCCACCCACTTGAGTGAATAAAGTCTAATAAGAGACTTCCCCGAGGACGGAGTTTTCTTCAGAGTACTTTACAGAAACCTTGCTTTGTTACTTCTTCGCGTTTTGTTATTAGCATTTATTGTTTTGTTACAAAATAAACATACTTCACTGGCTGAAAATGGTGAAAATTTAATAAGCGCCCAGCCTCAAATAAGCGCCCACCTCGAATAAGCGCCCACTCTCAAGGTCCAAAAATTTAATAAGCGCCGAGGGCGGTTAATCGAATAAATACGGTAGATACCTTGTGTAAATATTTTCCTTCAAACGAAGTTAGAAGCTACTCAGGCTGTTTTCTGGTCATTATCTGATAAAAAAAACACCCAATTTATTGTTTACAAGTTGAGCAGTACTAAGCTGGCCATTATTGTTCCCGCTTTCGACAGTTACTTATCAAGTCAGCGCAGGCGCCCACAACACGGAGCGAGCAGCTCTTGTGCCCATGTAACGGCAATTTCTCAGACCAGTTTATTTTTAGATCATTTTTCCTGCGAACTTTGAAATCAAGTCTTCAAACTTCAGGGTTTCAAATAAGTCTTACAAAACAGTCATCAAAAACCGAAGACTTAAAAAGGTATTTCTGGTGTTTTGATAGCATTTACTTCCTCTTTTTGTAAGTATCGTATTATGGATGCGCACGCATACTGGACGGTGCCTCTATTTTTGCAGGAAAACGTTCTCAAAAAATGATGCTAAAAATACCTTGATCTGTGAAAACGCCGTTGTATCGGCTAAGTATGGGAGTTGCGCGCTCACGTTTATATGCTCCTGGTCAGCGAGGCAGGCGATCGAGCAGGAGGGCTAAAAACAGATCCGCGAATTGTGTGCGAGAACTTGAAAGTGCCCGCACACACGGGCTTTTAAGCCTGGTCTCCAGACTAATATAATCGCCCAGGACGTCTAGATATCTTCCGTTTTTTTAGGGACGAACCGGAAGGTGAAATAGAAGCCCTGCCTCGTACCAAGGTTTTTCTTGGGATTTCCAGCAATAGTTGCGGTGCAAGAGGACGAGGGATGGGCGAAGCATTTCCAAACATCTTAGCACTTTTAACGTTTTTCATGATCCTTCCCTCCTCTGTCCAAAAAATTTCATAAACCTTTGCGCCACGACTACTGCCGAAAATCACAGAAAGCGCCCAGGCAACGAGGCGATGAAAATCGCTTGCAAACCATCGCCCTACCATAATCTCCTTTGTTTTACAGGATTTTGGATGTCCAAAGCTTGGACGCGATGACTTAGCATGGAACTTGGCTACTACAGGTGAAAAAATAGAACCATTTCTTGACGCTTTGAATGACCATCATTTCATTGAAATGATCCAAGAGGTTTGTGAATCCTTTAGGAAAAATGTAACACCGAAAATTCATCTGTTGCCGAAACAGGTCATCCATGGAGACGCGAATTACACAAATATGTTATTGGTTCAACGTAGCGGTAATAATGATAATCATGCAGCAGACTTTGGCTTCATCGACTTTTCAGATATTAATTATAGTTGCCGTGTCTTTGATCTAGCAATTTCGCTTACATACTGCTTGAATCACCCTAATGCATTGAACTGCGAGGAATCTCGAATGGCGGCGGGACATTTTTTCGCGGGATATTACTCTGTCAACCCCTTGTCGAACGAAGAGATAGAATTGCTGCCTGTATTAATAGCCTCGAGGTTTTGTCAGACTTTAGTTTATGGCGCTTTCACCAGCACATATCTCGACCCTGGCAATAGTTATCTCATGGAAACCTCTACACACGGGTGGAAGAATTTTGAAGCCTTTTGGAATACGCCCAAAGACGAGGTGCTAAAAATATGGCTCCAATTGACCAATCAGAACAGTTACAATTAAGTAAAAAATACGTCGTGACACCTTTGAAGCGCAAAAACGCTTTGGTGCAGGAATAGACTACGAGAAGTCTCGTGGCTCGACGCTCGCGCGCGTGGACTCCCCTCACTATAAACCCTGAAGAAAAAGAGAGACTGCTCGCACTCTGTGGTACAGGAAGTGGAAGAAAGAAAACTCTGGTTGATGCATTTTCTTCGGAGGCGCCCAAAAACTGTATTGAATGTAGCAAGTGTAAATAGCTCTAAAAAGCGCCTCAATGATTTTTAAACATCTAGTTTTCATGAGAGGTTATGTGCAAATAGTTTATTTGATTTTGAAGTATCTAGTGTTAGCATTATCTTTTTTACCGTTTTGTCAATTTTGCTTTTTATAATTTAAAGGTCCGAATCGTTTTGAGATTTTTAACTGAGAACTCCTCGCCCTCTCTAGATAAAGCTGATTCATCATTCGTTCATGCATTTATTCAAATATAGCAATTCAAATCCCATAGAGATTTGACGGAATACTTTACGATGCTTACGAAATAAAGGAGTCTAAATGATATATTCCTGAACAACTAAACAGGGACAGTCATTGGTTAATTCTTGGTCATGTGGCCTTGCCTAGATTTAAATGTATCCCGTTCGTGATACTACCGTCGGTTGCATCTAAGCGTGGACACGAGACAAAAAAAAACGTGTTCTAGTGAAAGTCTATGGGAACATAATAATGATCATGATGTTTCATTTGACTAACATCAGAACTTTCAGGAAAACAAAACTAAATTTTTTGTACTCGGGACCTATATATCATACTTTCAAAGTATGCTTACCTCCTGAATTTCCGTTTTTATTTGCCTAATCCTCGACAAATTCAGGATATAAAGGGAATGACGTTTAGTCTAGCAGATAAACTTATTCTTCAAATAGCAGTTCATTCGTCGAGTTGTATTTCTGCTGTTCTTGCTATGCCTTAAGGCAATAGCTCGGCTATTTCTTCTTCACATAACGCGTAGAATTTTCCGTCATGTTCTTTAGCTAATAAAAACAGGTGTGCTAACGCAACTTTGTCACAAGGTTTTCTTGATTGCCGTCCCTTTTCCTGTACGATTTACACAAACGCCACTCAAATTTGGGCAACGCAAGTTGGTTACGAAGAATTAGCCGTACCGTTAAACCTTTCCTTTCCCACTCCTCCGCTATAATACAGAAACCTCTTGATTGTACACAATTCACTTGGTCCTAAAGTCATAGTCAATCTTACAGGGTGCCGACCTCTACATTGCAGACACTTCTGTGATGAGGTTCTGTCCCTTTCTGGATCCGCCCCAGCTTTTCAGTTTGGAGAGCCCATTTTAAAGAAGGTTGGCTGCATATTTCTCCCCAGTTTTATTCCAAAATTTCCATGTCAAGTGTCTTTTGTCTTTGTTTGTCAGTGTGTGTTCTTGTCAGGGTAGGTATGGGGTTGTTGGTATGGCTGAAGTATAGAATTTGTGTTGTAAACTAATAAAATTCTCGTCTTTCTTGTGTGGTTTGTCCCCTTACTATGCTGACCTGCTTTCCACCACCGGCTATAATCGTCAGGTATCAAATTTAATGGCTTGATGTTTCATCGCTTGGGAAGTTTCATTTTTTTAAAATTTTGTAGCTTTTTTAAATCAGGGCATAGTTAGAAGAGGAGACTGGTTATGAAAGCCGGCAAACATCAAAGTTGAAAACAACGGCATTGTAGCTTATGTTGGAAGCTCCCTGACCGTACACAATCCTTTGTTTTTTGGTCACAAATTGTGACTGAATAACTGAATGCGATGTTTCTGTTGGTCTGTAAGTTCAAAATGATAGGAATGCTTTTAAACGTCCGTCAGGCCCAAAAAAGGTAAAAAAAATATATAACAAAGGATTCTAACGGGTTTCATAACAATTCCACGCTAATAACTATGATCAGGGTCAATTAATACAGACATATAGGTTGTTCATTTATAAGGATGTTTTCTTAATGCGAGCGTTCCAAAAATACTAAAAATAGCCTGGTCAACGAGTTGTTTGCAGATTGAATCATTCGTTCAGTAAACATAGAGCTGCGCCCGAACCAAAAATTTGTACAAGCAACGCCTGGCCTGAGGGCATACATTTTCTGTATCTTTCCTTTTTTGGGTAACTCCTTGATTCTTCTTAAGTAGTATTAGATGAAGCATAATGACAATTGTACCGGTTCCGTAAATTATCTAAAAACAAATTTTTAAAAACGAATGAAGCCGGAATGAAGTGGAAAAGGCTAGCAGTAAATATCATGGAATGGAATTGAAAGATGATCTGATTCTGTCCCTATGTTTACTACGTACACTTGGCACGTTCATGGGGAAAAAAAACGTGACTCGCAGGGCGAAGCATGGGTCAAATCTCATGCCAGCTAAGCTGTCAACTCAATTTTAACGCCACAAATAATCCGGGTTGTGAAGTATTGAGTGATTTTTAATGCTCTCCAGTTTCGACCGTTCAAGTTTGATTTTTTTTCCTCCTCTGGGGTCATTTGACATACCGCGACGTCCAAATTTCACCCTTTTAAACCCGTCACTCCCTCAGACACGCATGATGAAGTCGTACAGCTTGGGTCTCTGGACAAAATCTTGTGATTTGTCCATTCAACTGGATGAAAACTCCTCGACAGTACTCTCGCATGTTTCTTTTGGTTCTTTGGTATTTTACAAGTAGATGCGTTCATAGATTTTGGGATCTATCTTAAATCTTGATATTGAACACTCTTGGGATTATCTGGTAAGTACTAAAAGAGGACGACCCACAGGTTATAACCGAAAGGTACCTACATCGAAGGAACACTAGATTCCTAGGATGCAGCCAACCATCTTCGAAAATAAACCGAGTAAAAGCGGATATTTTTCCTCTTAGGTCAATGTAACTAGGAAAGAAAGTGAAAGGTTTGAGTACTTCGGGTTGCTCCGTGCCTAGCTTGTGAGGATATCTCAAAATATTGGGACTCTCTTATCGTGATAGTCTGTCTTTGAAGCAATGAAAGGAAATACACATTGCTAATCCGTGAACACTGTCTTACCCGATCTAATAAGATAAGGGATAGAGCCTTAATCTTTTGGGAATGAATAGAATAGGATCTGTGAGAAGAGCAGGAGAGATCGGATTATTTTCTCTTGAAATAAGCTATGTACGGTAGACTCCCGCTAATTCGAACTTTCAAGGGAGGTAGAAATAAGTTCGAGTTCTTGGGAGTGCGATTTATCGAGGGCAAAATGATATAAAAACGATGATGAAAAAAAAATGAAAATGAAAATTGTTTCGAGTTAGCGAGAGGTTCGAGTTGTTAGGGTTCGTGTTATAGGGAGTGGACTGTAGGTATGTGCGAAACCAAATGGTGTAGAATTTTAGCCCCTTTGTAGACTGGGTGTGGGTATAGATTTTATGTTAGGGTCTGAAATATGGTAAGGTTTGGGAGTGTGGAGTTCTTGTTGCTGCCATCGTTTTTAGTTATTTGTCGTTTCAGATAGAGCGGCTCAGATCTGAACTGGAGAAAGGATTTCAAGGAACGTGTCACAACCTCCCTCGGGGCGTAAACTCGAATAAAACACAGTTACAGCTCAGTTCTAAAAGAGTTACGAATGTGCACAAAAAAATGAAAAGATACTCACTTGCATTAAGCTGTCAAATATCATATAAGGTTATTTTTCTTAGCTCCTGTAACTCAGTTTTGGTTTTCACCATGGTCAATGTATTACCACCCGTCAAGGCTGCATGAGGGAACAGTAAACCACTGTTTCTGTATCTTTAAAATAAAATCTACCCTCAATTTTTTTAAGCTTGTTGTTTGTAATCGATGTTAATCTACTACAACCTAATCCATTCTTGATCCTCCCAAAACAGTAAGCAACTTTATTCAGATTAAAGGGTAATGAAATAACGGCAAAGTCAACAAACCAGCGGCCCTTCACACAAGGAAATCTAATGCAATCTTAAACAGTGCAAGTCAGCTATAATTTAGGCTACCTAAGAATAAGACTACACAATTACAATACAGTAAGTCTTCCCTAAACAAATCAATGTCACTATAAGAATTAAAGAAACAATTATTCACAGTGTTCTTGAAAGATTAGATACTGTTTTTCTACTTAAGTTCACCATGTAAACCTTCCCGCTTCGGTACAGTCTCTTAGGATCATTGTTACAATAACAAGTATAACAGGCCCAAATAAAATTTCCATAAATCATGGCGGCCGTTTAACAAGAGCGTTAAAGAACAATTGTCTTTTACGAATTGATAGGTAGTTGCGCAACTATTTTTGAAGCCTATTTCCGATAGAGTTGATCTGAATGTTCTTTGAAGGTAAGTTCTTGATCAGTTATCAACCCAAGTAACCGTCTGGCTTTTTCGCCGAGGGCAGCACACCCTCCCTCAGCTGCAGACTGGAGCCATTTACTTACAATTTTAATCACTGCCCAGTCATCAGAACTGACGTAATTTTCAAAGCTTTAAGATCATATACTGAAATTTCTTGCAGATCATTTTCATGCGAAGAGCAGTGGGCACTCGGTGAAACTTGAGGTAGTATCATGAGATGCCCTACAAAGTTTGGTGTTAGTAACAAAATATGTTGTGCGCTGTGTAAACATGATGACCTAAAATATATTGACAAAGCTTCCTTAACAGAAACACAGGGGCAGAGGCTGAGTAAGGGCTCAGGGGGGTCTGGAAGCCCTTAAGCCATCAGGTCATAGATTTTTATTTTTCACTATTAGACCAAGCGCTATAAAGTTCGGAAATTGTTGCCGCAGAATGGTCGCATCACTGAGTGCAACATTTATCTTAGTAACAGAAACATGAAAAGCATCGCCTCTTTTCCATAACGCATGTTGCTACGGGTATTCAAATTTGCCTTCAATGAAGTTTACAAGAAAACATGCGTGCGGCGTCTGAGAGTGGAGATTTGGACGCCCTTGGCAAAAGCACCTGGGTTTTCCTCAATACTGACCTCTCTTATATCGATTAAATTACTCAAA